ATATGCGTAGCCTTTTCTACTTACTGGACTTGGCCCAACCACACGAGTCGATACATCTCTCTTCGTTTGGTAAACTCAGCTCGCTTACATAACCCACGTGAGCAAACACTAGGTGTTGCTATCCATCCGGCTTAAGTCGGCCCGATAGTAAGGATACATTTTTAGATCACCCTAGCAGTATGGACCCCGTATTTTCTTCACTTGCACCATCTATGGATCATGTCTCTCTCTTATATTCGGACATGCCTATTTCTCTTCGGACTTAGATATGTCTAGATTGTTAGTCATGAAACATGCGATCACTATTAGGCCCCCTCTTCAAGTCCGTTAGCTATCCAAACATTTATTTGGGCTTCACTTCCTTCTTGTCACTCTCCCTCCCTGCCACCCTCGAGTTTGCACTTTATTCCTTATTTGGATAACTCAATGGTACATTCTATATCTCATAATATTTTTTATTCTAAATTTTTTAACACTCATAATGCCTTATTAAAGGCCATCTCCTCCATTGATGAGCCCACCTCTTTTTCTTAAATAATGAAACACATATGATGATGAGATGCTTATGACCAAAGAAATTTTCACTTTAGAAGCTAATCACACTTGGATGCTTATATCCCTACCACCTAGGAAGCATGCTATTTATTCCAAGTGGGTTTATAAAATTAAATTTAATCCCGATGGCTTTAGGAAAAGATATAAAGCTCACCTAGTGGTGAAAGGTTACACTCAAATCAAAGGTGTGGATTGTCATGAGACGTTTGCTCCTATCACCAAATTGGTGACAATTCGTTACCTTATTGTTATTACCTCAATACATAATTGAAAGCTTCATCAATTAGATGTCAATAATGCCTTCTTACGTTATGAACTTGAAGAAGAATTTTATATGAAAATCCTTCAAGGCTTTGCTAAATAGAGGGAGCATCGTGTTTTTCAACTTCAAAAATATCTATATAGACTTCATCGAGGCTTCTCCAAATTAGTACAAAAAATTCACCCAATCTTTACTTACGGTAAGATTCCTTAAGTCCTTTTCGGATCATTCCTTATTTATTTTTGCCTAGTCTAAATCTTTTGTTACTATCCTTATTTATGTTGATGATGTGATTGTCATAGGTACTAACACCTCTAAAATTGCACGGCTCAACAATTACTTGTATATCAAATTCTACATTAAAGATCTTGATAAACTTTAAAAAAAAAAAAAGAAAAAGGTCTTGAGGTTGCTCAATCACGAACCGGGATTATCATAAGTCAATGCAAGTATGTATTTGATATACTCACTAAGTACGATCTCACTCGGTTGTAAGCCTTCTTCCTTTCCTATTGATTAGCAACACAAGCTTGCTTTGGACTCGGCTCGCTTTGTGATTATCCTAGTTAATACTATCATCTTGTTGGACAATTACTCTATCTCACCATCACATGACTCGACATCGATAATGCAGTCCATACCTTGAGTTAGTTCATGCAACAACTATGATGGTCTCATTTTGATGTTGCCATTCGAGTTCTCCATTACCTCAAAATTGCTCCGGGTAAGGTATTTTATTTACTTCCAATAGTTTCTTATCTTTACGAGGTTATTATCATGCTGATCGGGTAGGATGTCCTATGACTCGGTACTCTACCATGAGATACATCATATTTATTGACTCTTCACCCATATCTTGGCGATCCAAGAAATAATCGTTGTCTCTCGTTCTATTACAAAAGCTAAATATAGGGCCTTAACTACCGCTACAAGTGAAATTATATGGCTTCATTGATTTCTCTCTAATTTGGGCATTCCTCATCTTCATCATGTTGACTTGTTTTGTGATAATCAAGCGACTCTTCATATCGTTGCCAATCTAGTTTTTCATAAGTAGATTAAGTATATCGAGATCGACTGTCATTTTTTTTATCGAGCATAGTCAATCATAACTTTTGTCAACTCAATCGATTTCCTCTCGGTCTTAATTATTGACATCTTCACTAAAGTTCTTGGGAGGGATTGATTCCAATTTTTGTTAGCCAAGTTAGGTATTTCGAATCTTCATGCTACAACTTAAGGGAGTAAAGAAGTTTATTTTAGGCATCTTATTATTATGATCTTTGTATTTATTATTAGATTCCATTCTTTACATATATGAAGAGTAGCTAAATAGTAAGGATTGTTTACCCTAAACTTTAGCTACCATTATTAGGAAATTTGTTCCCTCTATAATCAATATAAATCTTGTATGTACGTAACATCAAATACAATTAAGATTTATTTCATTCCATAATTTTTCGACACTTACATGCATGGTCCGATGGAAAACACCATGTAAGAAGTCCTATATTGTGGTGAAGAAGGCGACGGAGGAACAAATTAAATTGTTACTCGAAGAAACCTTGCAAGATATATGATCCCTTTTTAGAAGTATAGAAAATTAATTAATATAAAAAAATAAATATTATTTGGATGCGGCATAAAAACATTTTATAGATGTATATGATTAAAAACACTCAAATAATCCATTAATTAATATTCATTATTTATTAAATTTAATATTTTTTGGCTTAATGTTCTAGAAAATCACAAACTACATATTTTTTAATGATTTTAGCTAATTCTTAAAAAATTGTATAGAAATGTCACAAACTAAGCTTCGATAACAATGCTAGCACAAATATAATTTTTCGATCAAAAGTCCAAGCAACGCTAATGTGGCGATCCATGATGTAAGCATGACGCGTTGACTAAAGCAAGCCACGTGGGATCCATGTAAGCGAGTGACATGGAAAATCAAATGTGCGACTTGCTAAAGTTCATGTATCATGCTTACATGAATCCTACGTGGCTTCAAAATCTATGTGTTATGCATCGTCACTTGCCATGTCGACATTGCTCGGAATTTTAATCGAAAAATCAAATTGGTTCTAGTATTGTTATTAAAGACTTAGTTAGTGACTTTTTTATATAAGTTTTAAAGAACGAGTTAAAATCATTAAAATGTGCATAGTTTGTTGTTTTTCCGAAACATTAAGCTATATTTTTTCATGTTTTATATGAAACCAAACTTTGGATTTTCCTAAATTGTTCCAACTCCAAGAACAATTTTGAGAACTTTTGAAAAATCTTAAAATTTTAATTGATCAAAACTAAACAATTAATGATAATCACAATGACCTTAAGTCAAGTCAAATTGGCTTAACACACACCATAATCTTTAGAATAAATTGATCAAAATAAACTATTAGTAACAAAGAATCCCAAGTCTCATCGCATGATGAGAAGTCAAAATGGCTATTAAAAATAACATCAACAACAATAATAATACGCATGTATACTCATTGTCTTCCAAGTCAATCACCATCCAAACCCTTATCCAAAAAAGTTTCATCTAGAAACCGAACCCATAAATGTAGCTTTTATTTGATAAAAACAACTGCTGCCTAAATTCTTCAATTAAAATATAAATATAAATAGACTAGTATTTAAGAATTTTTTATTATTTTTTAATTAAGGAAATTTTTGGATCCAAGACTTCTAATAAAAGGAAGGGCATAAAAGCAAATTGAGATCGGTGTAGAGTTGCCCCCCTTAATTTTCAAAAAATTCATTATCATCCTTAATAATCTTAGGACTTCGAATCCCCCGTTTTTAGTCATTTGTCCCTCATTTTTTAGACAACTACCCCCCACCCACCTCCAAAAAAAAACATATTTTTTAAACTGAATGTGCCACAGAATACTTTTTATAGAATAATTGTATGTAAAATTATTATTTGAACAGATATTTTTGTGTTTTTCAATTCAATTTTGATGTAATAATATTGTTTAAATATAATATCATGTATTAAAACAATACTATTTTATGTAATAATATATATTGGAACACTGTTGTATTTTTACCCATTTAACCCCGAATCCTAGCTCGGTTGCAGGATCCTGTAGAGAATAATCTCGAGTTAGAAAAGCCTAACCATGAACTAAAGGAAAAAGGAAACAAAATAATAATTCTAACAAATTCAATTAATAATTCAAAAAAAAAATCAATTAATGTCACAATCAAAGACTCAATCATGCTCTATGGTTTGTGCGACCATAAATACGTAAAAGAAGCTAAACCCAAAAAAAAAAAAAAAGCTAAGGCCTGTCTGAATATTCCACATGGAGGAATCGTTGGACTAAATGACAGTGGGAATAACGTGAAGTGTTTTTTGGACTTTTGGGACGACATCTTCTTGGCTTGTACTTTTTGTTGTGTTTCAATATTGGTTGGCTAGTCCGTTCCGTCCAACCATCCATCTACTATTATCTAGTCGTAGTAAAACAAGAAAAGAGAAAGTTTGAGGACCCCAATTCTGCAATTGATAAAAAAAAAAAAAACGAAGCACATTTTTTGATGAAACCAAAGCTTGAGATGGACGGTAGAAAACAAGCAAAGCAAAATAGTGGAGTGTGGACTTTGGTTGTTCAGTGGAGGAGACGACTTGACCTGACAGGCTGACACACAACACAATATCAATACTTGGAGGTTCTTTATTCAATTTCCATATTGTTTCTTTAGTCATTTTTTTTTTCTTTTAAAGGACCAATCTTTTCTTAGAAATGGAGGATTGAAACAAACCCAGTTCAGGTTTGGAGATTTTGAAACAAATCCTTTTTAGTTTTGGTGAATCTGAGACAAAACCCAGTTTTGCCTTTTTGTACCTTTAGATGCTATGCATGTTTATTGAAGGCATGAACTGGAGAATGTGTGGCAGGCCCATTTCACTTTCCAGGTTGGAATCTGCTTACTTTGATTCAATTGATTTGAGAAAGATGGATTCTTTTGGGTTTTCAAGGGTGAGGCAATGTTTCTTTTTAGCTTCTCCTGTTAAATCGGCTGGTAGTTGATTTTTGGTTCTAATTACGTTTATAGACTATCTAGTGTGTTCAGTGAATTGTGATGTTTAGGCTAATATAGGCATAATACAATTTTGAATTGCTTGATTAAGCTATAAATAATCAGGTGAAGTTGTATGATGCCTGAATTTTGTGGTTCAAGCTTGCTTCTTGGTCTTCCTGATGATGTGTTTGCCATTATATCTAGGTCCCTTTCGCCGAGGGACATATGTACTTTAAGTCTTTGCTGCCGGAGTTTATATGACCTAGTGGCATCTGAGAAAGTTTGGTTCACGCAGTGTGACATGGTAGAAATTATCCCTCATCGGGATCTCATGGAGTGGCGAAAGGGTGTGTCATCTTATAGGGCACTGTGTCGCTTCCTTGTTAGTGTTAAACCATTAATTGGAATTTGGGTTCACCAAAATCCCGAGCTTGGTAATGTAGTTTATGTCATGCCTGGTTTTGTATCTGTTGTGGGGTGCCGGATTTTACCACAGGAGTTGGGCCCTTTAGGAATCGAAGAAGGTCCTATTTTATGGGCACCTGTGTTTGAAATAATAGGTGACCCTGATGGTTCTGCCTCATTTTTCCTACATGGAAGAGAGAAAGGGAATGACTATGTTTATCCTGGTTCAGTCAAGTCTGTAGACCGGAATTGTAATGTCCTTTTGCTTGAGGTTGAGCCCAGGCAACACAAGAGCAAATTATTCCCTAATAGAAGCTTTGCTTATAACTCGGACAAGGAGCTAGCAAGAAAGGTTTCTAGGTCACACACTGGATTGTCAAGGTCACAGAGGTTGATTATACCATGTGAGGCTAAGGTGCCTTTTAGCCGCTTGGCTTTTAGTGACAGAAGAAAGTTGATTGAGGTTGTCACAAGCGAAGTTGGTCAACAGGTACCCGATTTGGCAAATAGGTCGCTGTTTCCTCGGTTGGGGAATGATGAAGATAATTTTCAGAAAGATATGGCACTCTTATTTGAACGGAGATCACTTCTTTTGAAAATGTATAAGCTTGGTCAAGGCTTTAATTGGAAGGAAGCTCCTGAAGTGCCTTCTGATCCTACGCAACTGCAATTGAGTGAGATTAGAAAGAGTCTTGATCGGTCAAGTGGGTCTCTGAATGAGGATGATAATCAGACGCAGTCCAACTTGAAGAAAACCTTTGGTGGGTATTTGCGAGCAAGCATCAGACAGATTTTGGGCAAATCACCCTCCATTAATGGTATCCGAGCACATTCAAAGCATAGTTCTTCAAGCAGCGAGAGTAAATATGCCCAGCTTCATGATTTTTTAAGTTCGGGGGATACAATAGGGTTGACTTTACATGCCTCTATGATGAGGTTATCTTCTTATCGAGCATGGCCGAATATGCATGACAGTCGATTTGCCCTATACAAATTACCCATGCGAGTTCCTAGAGCTGATCAAGAATATGCTGGTTTATGGGGAGGGACTTTTGGTTGGCCTCCTGGGAAGCCCACTGAAGACAAGCCGGGAAAGGCTCTGTTCATTCTTTTGATCTCTTACGAGGAGTCTGAAGGACAAACAAATCTCATTGCTACCAAGATATTAGAAGGCACGCACTATGTTCTGCATCCAAATGGCTCGGCAATGTTCATAGTGAATATTGATAAGCCTTCACAAGATCCTTTTCCTTGGGATGTTGATGCAAATTCCTTTCCTTTCACTGTTAAGGATGCATTTGCAGGGGAGGGTATAGCAAATGGGTATGGTTTCAGATATCCAGGATCAAAGCCTGGTTCCCTCTTTGTAATTCAAAGTGGACTTCTTGCCTTCGTTTGGAAGGAGTCGAAAGCTGTCTTGACCATGCAGCGACTGAACCTACAAGAGCTTTTGAAGAAAGGTGAACGGGTGCCTGCTTTACCACCCATTGCCAACTTTTCATACTTGACCAAGTCCTACTCGAATGTCTTTGCTGGCTTCTCAACTGCCTCAACTTGTTTGTCTTCACCAAGGTCAGCCTTCTTTATTGGATGCTTATTTTCATTATTATTATTATTATTATGGTAAATAAGTATCAAATTGTTTTATTGCAGATTTACATTATATCCAAACTGGTTGGTTCCATCATGTCATTATGTTTTAATGTTCCAGTTGTTCATGAGCAATTGACCCTCTTATTTTTAATTGCTCCTTCTCCTTAAGTCATGTGGATATCTGTAAAAAAGTCTTTGGATATTGTGTGGAAATCACAAAAAAGTGAGAAGGCATGAACAACTGAGGTGGCAAAAGGAATTAGCTTTGAGACGTAACATGATGATGGAAACCATGTCCTGATTTCTGAATTAATGAGAAACTTATTTTTTGATGGCTGATTAACCAAAACCAGGGTTTAGGATTTACTTCAGACCATTGGTCGTTTCTAATATTGTCAATGAGGCATGCTTCCTAGCATTATTGTGCATCCTATCATCCATCTTCACTTCAGTGATTCTTGTACGGATATGATGTGCTGATGAAGCTCTTGAAGTGGGCTGACCAATTGTCTTTGCAACTATTGTAATCTCTCAATTTTTTTATGTATTTCCAAAATCATCATCATGCCATCATATTAGGGAAGTCCAAAAAAAATGAGTCTACAGTGGCCTTAGTTTGAGTTTGATAAGAGAGAGTTCGTTTTATAATTTAGCTTAATTGAAGATGCTATTTTCTTCTTTAAAAAACTATATCGCAATTATGCATGATTCAGTAGGTAGGCTACTGGGAGATTTTAGTTCACTTTTCTGCTCTATTTTCACTGCCACTGTTTCTCTGTGCTTTTGGAAGACCAGACAAGAGAAAACATGCAAACAATCTTTGACCTGCTACACACTATACTCAGTTTCTACTGTAGATTTCTGTTCGTCATTTAGTATGGTGCTCAATCACTCTTTACAAGTTTTCTGTTGCAACTTGTATGTCATTCCGATGGAATCTGGATCATTGTCATATGCTTTTATGCTTAAGCATGGACTGTAAAAAGTAGCCACATATTTGATGTTCTTCTGTTTCTTTTGCGTATGCTGCGTCAGTCTTTCTGTGGAAGGCAAGGGATAAAAAATGATTCTCTTCAGTCTTTGCCTTCAAGTCAAGCGATAAGAGTCTGTTGAGCTTTAAATGATCAGTTTCTTGTACTTTACTTTCCTTACACACTGAATTGATTCCATAGCATTCGTTCTGAGAAACGAATCTAGAATGCTGGTTTTGGTATAGTTTACCAAGGGAAGTCTAAGAATGATGTGCTATTATATAGGAGTTCACTTCATCAAAGCTTCTCAGATGTGTTCCCATTTTTCTCTTTGACAGGCAAAGACATTTGTAGGCACTAAAAGCAAAGTCCATAAACCAAGGGGGTTACTACAAATTCATAGAAGCTGAGTTCTACTTGGTTGCTGCAGTTGATGGTCGAACTCTTTCTCGCTGGCACCATGCTGTGACTCGTTGATGATCAGAGTGCTCTTAAATTTGCCTAGTTCCACGATACCCCTTCTCTTGGATTATAAAGCTTAAGCTGATTCTTATGTATCCTATCTTGAGACAAGCATTGAATAGGGTTATGATAATAAACCTAAGGTATAAGCATCTAAAATTGTAAGTAGATAATCAGGTGTATTGATTTACGATTGTTAGAAGGATTGAGAGGTTGAAGAAACTACCTTGTTAATTGCATTTGGATTGTGTAATTGGAAATGTAAAAGCCCCTATTTTAGATTTCATTTTTTTTCTATTTGTTGTGGAAGCTAATTACTTCCATCTCATCCAAACTGCCTTTTCTGATTCCAGGGACCTGTAGTTGTGTTCTTCTTGTTCTTCGATAAATGACTTTACAGCCAAGTTTTAAAATAACTGAATCTGGAATCCATCGTAATTTTTTGTTTTTTTAATGTTTTGTAAGTAGTCCTTCTGGGATTTGAAAAACATAAATTAGTCCCTTGACTATTTCTAAATCATTTGTATGTAGGACGTGAAACTGGAAATTTGATTAGAAACGTAAGACATTTCAGGAAAAAACAATTAAATTGTCATGAAAGGATGGACAGAAAGATTAAGCAATTACAATTGTTAATATGTGGAATACCTTTCTTTTATATATTCTAATCATATATATACAAGATACAAGGATCTATACATGGTAAGTAGATCAAATCTACAGCTGTGTATATATTCCTAATTTAAGAGAAAACTATATTCCTAATTTAAGAGAAAACTATATAGGAAATATACGTGATAGGAAATAGAAAAGAATACAGCTCATTTCCGCTAACTTTCTCCCTCAAGTTGGGGCGTAGATATCACACATGCCCAACTTGGATAACGAAGTATAGAATGGCCCATTAGCGACACCATGAGTCATAATATCGGCCAACTAATCCGAACTTCGGTATAAGGAATCTCTATTGTGCAAGAATCGAGATTATCTTTGATATAGTTTCTATCAAGTTCAACATGCTTAGTTCGATCATGTTGCACCTTGGATTATTAGCAATCTCGATAGGCTGCTTTGTTATCACAAAACAAAACCACATGCTTCTTTGGACCAAACTCGAGTTCTTCTAAGAGGATTTTCAACCAAGAAAGTTCGGTGATTGCATGATCCATAGCACGATATTCGACTTACGCACTTGATAATGAAACCACATTCGTTTTTTACTTCTCCAACTCACCAAGTTGCCACCAACAAACGATAAATATCTAGAAGTAGATTTTCTATCCAATCTACTACCACAGAAATCGAGTCCGTATAACCCACAATATCAAGATGTCCATGTTTGGAAAATAAGACACTTTTACACGGAGTTGATTTTAAATAAGCCAAAATTCGATTTACGAGTATTCATGTGTTGATCACTTGGATTGTGCATAAACCGACTCACAACGCTAATCGCATATGCTAAATCTAGCCTTATGTGAGTTAAATAGATCAACTTTCCCATTATCCTTTGATATCTCTCCTTGTTTGCTGGAATTTGATCGGGATAAATAGACAAGCCATGATTTACCTCAATAAGAGTATTTATAGGCTCACGAGCGAGTTACCGGTTTCAGCAAGGAGATCCGAGTATACTTCCTTTGAGAAAAAAACAGGCCTTACTTAGATCGAGAGACTTTAATGCCTAGAAAGTATTTGAGAAGCCCCAAATCCTTTATCTTGAATTCTTTGGTTAAATAGCTTCAAAGTTTCTCAATCTCATCTATATTATTGCCTATTACAATCATATCATCAACATAAACAAGAAGCAAGGTAATATCATTATGATCCTGTTTATAGAACAAGGTATGATCTGCTAAGGCTTGCTTGAATCCATACTCTTTCATTGCATGACTCGACCTCCCAAACCATGCCCTTAGTGATTGCTTTAATCCATACAATGCTTTTTTTAGTTTGCATACCTTTCCTTCTTCCGAGTGTAATTCCCGGGGGTGGATCCATAAATACTTCCTCCGTCTTATCACCATGAAGAAAAACATTCTTCACATCGAATTGTCGTAGGGGCCGATCCAAATTAGCTGCAAGTGAGAGTATGACGCGAACGGTATTCATCTTGGCAACTAGTGCAAAAGTCTCTTGATAGTCAATACCATAGGTTTGGGTATAGCCTTTTGCGACCAGCCTACCTTTGTATCTTTCCACCGTCCCATCCGGCTTGTATTTAACGAGTTTATATCCCATTTGCACGCCACGGTCTTTTTTCCCACCTGGTAAATCGACCATTTCCCAAGTAGAATTCTTTTGGAGAGCCATCATTTCATCTACCATTGCATCCTTCCACTTAGGATTTTTGAGGGCTTTTCGAAAATGACTAGGAATAGGTACGGAAGACAAGTCGAAGAGCAAATGTTAAGTTAGTTTTAGACAAACGATGATAGGATATAAAGTCGGAGATCGGGCAAACAACATTGGAGGTTTTTGAGAAACCGAATCTATCGGTTGCTTTTCTTTCACGAAGAGGATATCTCCTATTCGATCAATATTAGAATTGAGATTGGAGTTTTCGGGAGATTCGAAAGAATAAATGCATACCTTAGTGTCGATCTTAGAAGATTCATCCGATGGCATGGTAGTATCATCAAGGGAGGCACTAGAATTAGGAGGCGGAACAATGATATCTTCCTTTCTCTTAAAATATCCCTTCTCAAAGAAATGTGTTGGTCTCTTAGGTCTCTCATCATCCGATTCAATTTTATTTTTCTCAACAAAAGGATCATCTAAAACTAAGGATTCCCCATTTGTCTTAATGTTATCTATACTCGAGGTCCATATGTGTTTTTCTCTCAACCATAGTTATTCCTCTTCTTTACTACCAATCTCCCTACGAAGAGGAACCATATATATATCGTCGGAAAAATAGGACTCATTTTCATAGAATTGAACATCCATCGACACATAATAGGTTCTTATGGGAGAATGAAAATATTTATATCCTTTTTGTGAATTAGAATAGCCAAGGAACACATATTTGATAGCACGGGGATCAAGTTTATCTCTATGAAGAGAATGAATATAAACATAGCATACATAGCCAAAAATCTTAGGACAAATATTAAGAGCGAGATGGAATAGGATGAAATCTAGATAACATCCTTAAAGGAGTTTGAAAATCAAGAATCCTAGTAGGCATTCGATTGATAAGAAAAACGACGAGTCATGACAACTTCGACTCAAAAACGTTTTGGAACATGCATAGTAAAACATAAGGCTCGAGCCACTTCAAGGAGATGACGATTCTTACGTTCTGCTATGCCATTTTATTGAGGTGTGTAAACATAAGTTGTACGGGAAAGAATGCCATGTTGTGTCATAAACTTAGTAAAAGATTGATTCACAAACTCACGATCATTGTCGGAATGAAAAACTTTAACTTTAGTGTTAAATTGGGTGAGAATCATGTTGTAAAGCCGAGGAATAATATGGGAAACATCACTCTTAAATTTCATCAAATATACCCAATCGACCCTAGTACGATCATCAATAAAAGAGACAAAATACTTATGTCCTAAAGCAGAAATAGTGAAAGGACCCCATACATCGAGTATGAACACATAAAAAAGGAATAGTGCTTTTATTAAAATTGACTTTAAAAGAAACATGATGGTTTTTAGCATAAATGGATTGTTCACAATTTAAACTAGAAATAGAAATATTGAAAAATAATTGAGGAAACAATCGCTCTAAATAAGAAAAAGATGGATGTCCCAACCGACAATGCCAAAGCATAATTTTCTCTCTATCGATTTTTCTCTCTTTGTTTGAAAGCCACGAGGAGGTGCTACTATGCCTCGATTGTCCTCTAAATAATACGGACCATCCCTCTCTTTACCAATGCCAATCGTCATCTTTGTAAGATTGTCCCGAACACACAATGAATAAGGTGAAAAATGACATAACAATTTAGATTTTTTGTTATCTTGCTAATGGAAAGAAGGTTGTTTGAAAGTTTAGGTGCAAGTGGAACGAGAGGACATAGCAAAAATGTCGAGAGAAAGAGACACATTTCCAGCCCTCGTGATTGGCATAGAGTTCCTATTAGCTACTCGTACGGACTTAATTGGTGGAGATGTTAGGGAATCAAAGATAGAAGAGTTACTAGTCATATGACCGGGACCCATGAATCAATAATCCAAGTATTAGGACAAGTAGAAATAATGGATAAACCAAAATTACCTTCTTGGGAAGATGTCCGAGATACATGAGAAGCGAGAAGATGGAGTAGTATTTATGGCGGTAGCATTCGAGTAGAAGTTCGTTTTTCCTCTCGGCTTGCTTGAGTTTATACCATTCCGGATAGCCATGCTTCTTCCAACGAAACATCAATCGTATGTGTATTCTTATGACGGTGGGTGTAAAACCGAGATTGAGAAGTTGTAGAAGTGCTCTTTTGGGCGATTAGAGCTGAAGCTTCGAGTGGATTTACGCCCCATGGTAACTCGTCGTTGAACTTCTCGACGAACCAAGGAGTAAGCTTCTTCTAATCTTGGTAGAGGAGAAGTAGCTAGAACACGACTACTAACTTGATCTAAATTATGATCAAGACCAACAAGAAAGATATAGACCTTGTCTTCGCCATACGTTTGTTGTATTTTTTTATATCGAGCGGCACATGTCATATCATTGGGCCTTTGATAATCAATCTCCATAAAAATTGAGTTTAATTCATTGTAATATTCGGTTAAAGGTCGGCCACCTTGACGTGATTGGAAAGACTTTTTCATGAGTTCATAAACTTGAAAAGAATCGGATGCATCAAGGTAACTTCTTTTCACGAGCATCCCGGACTCCTTTTGTCTGTGCCACACTCGCATAAATTGTGACATTAAATTATCACTCATTGAATTAATGAGCCAAGATTTGACAAGTGCATCTTCGGCCTCTCATTCATCATAGCACTGGATCATCTTCTACCGAGTGCGGCCTTTTTTCCATTGATATAGCCCTTCTTTTTTCTTTCGGCAATATGCATCTCCAAGATCTTAAACCGGACTCGATAGTTAGCACCATCCAATTTAATATGGATTGATGAAAGAGCATCATGACCGATTATGGTGGAGGTTTTCCTGTTGTCGGTATTTGCAACCTCGGGTTTGGTAGACATGCGAGGTGCGGCTAGTGTTTTAGGGAAGAAAAGAGCAACAATTGTGGCTAGGGTTTTGAAAAAAAAAAAAAAAGGAAAAAGAGCAGTTGCAGCTAGGGTACAAGGCTACGATACCAAATTATTAATATGCGAAATACCTTTCTTTCATATATTCTAATCATATATATACAAGATACAAGGACCTATACATGGTAAGTAGATCAAACCTACAATCGTGTGTATATTCCTAATTTAAGAGAAAACTATATAGGAAATATACATGATAGGAAATAGGAAAGAATATAGCTCATTCCCGCTAACTATTACAAACCAAAGAGATTAACTAGTCATATCATCGAAGAGATTTGGCAACGCCTCATATCACTAAAGTACTTCTAAATTATTTGATATGAACAAAATTTTGGATTCAAGTTCCGGATTAAGAGAAAAAAATAAAACAAAAAATAAACGTTGTGGTTTGTAAACTTGGAAACATTCCTATTGAAAACCTCGAGAAAACGAGTCTCGGGGTTCGACTTGTAACTCGCGGAGTTAAACATTTTTCGAATTTTAATTTATTTAAAATTGAATCTTTGAATTTTACATTTAATTTTTGTGATCCTAAATTTTCAATGTTTTGAAATTTAATACATTTTTTAGTTTTTCGTCATTTTTTAGGTTTATACGAGATTCTCAAAAAATTTAGAATCATTTTGAATTATTTTTTATATTTTTAATGTTCAAAAAATAAACAAATATATTTTTTTAATTTTGAAAAAAAAATCTAGGATATTTTTTTAAAAAAAATGAATTGAATTTTTTTTTAATGTATGTGCAAAAGTTCGATTCAATTCAAAATACAAAGGTATTGAAGTTGTTAGAGGAGAGTGATAGTTGAAAATTACTGAATGGATTAAATTTTTGAAAAATAAAAATTTTAGAATTTTAGAAATAAAATTTAAAAATTAGTATTCAATTTCAAATCAGTTAAAGTTTATAAGAGATTTTATATCATTTAGCCTTGACTATTTGATTTTGGATTTTGAAATGACCAAAAAAAGGCTGATTTTCGTCCATGGGAATTGAATGAACTTTGGACAGCTATAATACAGAGAGACAGGGATCCATGCCAAAGTTGTGGCTGAGGTTGTCATTTCAATTAAGAAAATTTTACACTTGTTCTTAATAAAAATTATCCAAATTTTATCATTTGATATTTATTTTTATCATTTAATAAATCATTAATGAATGTCCGGATGTAGTTACTGTTCACTTATATTCATATTTAATATTTATTAAGATTCATATGTATTATTTATTTTTACTATGTAATAATATTTTTATATTTTTTTCATATTTATAGAAGAATTTGATATTATATTATATTTTAATCTTCAATATTTTTAAAAGATATTTTTAAGTCCTTAAATAGAACAAGCATGCATGCCTGCCTTTTTCTTTTTCTTTTTGGCTTTTTTTTTCTAGCAATTTTTTAAAATTTATTTATTATTGAATTAGATAAAAATAATGGTTATTTATTTTTTTTGTATAAAAAGAATTAAAAAGTCTACTTAAATTTTACCCGTTGTTCATGATTACCATTTTAGTACTCCTACTTAAATTTTTTATTTTCAATTGTCTTTTATGTTTAAAAAATTTCTAATGAAATACATTTGTTCAATCTTTAACCATTAAAGAAACATACTAGAATAGAACTTGCAATACATTTGAAGGACTAATTTGCAATTTATCACAACAAGAAATACCCAAGAAAGAGAATATGCGGATTCAACTTGTAGGTTCCCGAATAAAAAATGAAACAAATATAAGACAGTTGTGTTTTGCGTGTTTCTTTCTCTCCGTCCTTCCAATTTCAAAAACGACGCAAGCCTCAGCCATGAGCACCACCGCAACAACTGCAAGAACCACCACCCCAATGAGACCAGCACCGTCTCCCTCCACAACTACCACCATCCTAGAAAATCCCACCCAACAACAACAACTGCAAACCCTAACTTTGCGATTAAATCGGCTGAAAAAGAAAGTTTCGTGGAAAGAAGGCACCGTAGACAATGAGTTTATGCAGAGAAAAAGCTCCAAAATTTGTTGTATTTTCCACAAGGAGAAACCCTTCGATGAGGATGATAGCGATGATGATGATTGTAGTCATGATCATCCCGATCACGACCATGAGCATAAATCCGACGGTGCCTGTTCTTCTTCTAAGCATAATGGTGATTGATTGATTGCGGTTTTGTTTGTTATTGTAAGTGTAGAAAAAAATTTTCTTTCCTTTTTAGAGTATTGTTGTAATGGGTATAAGAAGAAATCGGGAAATTTTAGAGGATTCGATCACTAAAATTCTCGTTTGGCTATTCTCTATATGAATTTTCTTTTCAATGAAATGAGAATTTTAATATGATTAATATAATTTATTATTTTTTGACGTCTGATTGGTTAATTCTTTTGTTATTTTTGTGGGTTTGTGGTAGATTTGCTTCTCATTATTCTTGAGATGAATGGCTTAATAAATAGAAATGGTTCTCAATGAAAAAACTCATGATAATAGTGGAGCAATAGAGGCTCTATTCGCGAATAATCTACAAAATTCTGTTTGATCATGGATGTTAAGCGGTATTGCTTCTGAAGAAAGTTGGAGATTTCTAATAGTTAATTCAACCCTGTTTTACATCGGTTTGGTGAAAATCTGCGAGAACTGGTTGCTTTCAGGAAGGTATCTTGTTTTGGGTTTGAACCCAAATTGTTACAATTAAGCGTATCTTATTCAACGATGTTATTTATCAGAGCTGAAGTGTGCCTGTTGCTTGCTTGTTGAAAACTTGAATTTTCTGTCAAGAAAAGGAAGCTGTTGTCTCAGACCCCCGAAAGTTTGTTGCCTGCTTGCTTGCTTTTGATGTAGGTAGCATGATGTTACAGTTGTGTCTATGCAGTCATTTGGATGCGAATAGCATATTGCTACCCTAGCTCCTAGCACCATTTATTAGCAGGATATTGACGTATCCAGTAGTGCAGTAATCCGATGGGTATGAGTTAATGTTGCTTAGATTATTGAAAAGAAGAGTGAGTAACAAATTGTGTGGATATTTATGTCACAAGACACTTCCTAAGTAGATGTCATTTATGAGGTCAGTTGTAGCATTCAATATAGCTTAGGAACAAGGTGTAGATTTTACTGTGCGAAGATACCGTCAAGGAACTTGAGAGTGCATGGGATGGGCAGGAGGAATTGGTTAGATCCGATATCCAACGCATATGCTTGCTGGAAAAGCCAAGTTCTAGGACAAAACTGTGTTGCTTATTTAGAGGTTTGAGCTCCATTGTACTTCAATGCTTGTCCTAACCTTCAAGGACTCATTTATAATGTTTGTATTAGCATCTTGCCAAATTCTGTATATTTGGACGTACAAATTCTCTTCTGGGTAGAATTGAAACCGGGTTCTTATCTTTCAATGTCTCATAAAGCAGTTCAATTTTCAGTTTAAATGCAGTGCAGGTTTTCAGATACACTATTCAACTGCTATTGTGAAGTTGCAGGCATAAACCGTATTCCTGTGGTAGATGTGCAATTTTCATGTAGTGAGCAAATCCGGTTAGTACATATATAAGAAAAATCATGTCATGTATTACACCTTTAAAAATAGCAGGTATACGTTGCTACTTGACAATCAGAATACTTAACGCGAAAAGCACCTCTGCTTATCAGCTGTATGTTCGCTTGACAAGATCGGTAACTAACGGGAAAGGAGTGCCAAAAACTAGTACCTGTTCTTCGAGCTCAAAATACCCCCTAACCGAGTTTGCAACCTCTTTCTGTGCAAAGCAAAATGAGGAATGGTTGGCAAAATGCGATTTTTCTTGGTAGCTAGAGAGGTCAACTTGCACTTTCCTTAACTCAAGTTCTCTTAATTACAGCTAAATAGTATTTCCTTGTTTCTGCACATTAGTGTCACACTGCCGTCCCCTATCGTTTTCCCTCAAATACGATCAATCCTGCTTAATACTTGGGGAATATCATTTGTTCACAAGGTACAACAAGAATTAGACATACCACTCATTTTTTAATCCTCCAAATTGCAGGTCTCTCTTGAATAAGTTAATTTGGCTTTCTTGTAAACTCAGAATGCCATAATGTATACAGTAGTCCTTAACTCAGCCTTCAAAACATTCACAGGCACATAAACTATCAGAATTCACAAGATTAAACATGGCAGGTTTGTTTGACAAGCAGGCAGCTACGTATGTGGATGCAAGGCCAAGATATCCAAGCGAATGGTTTTCGATGTTGGCTGCTCTCACCCCTCGCCACTCTTTAGCTTGGGATGTTGGCACTGGCAATGGTCAAGCGGCTCTTGGTGTTAGTTCTCTCTCTGTCTCTCACACTCTTTAACAGCTAATTAAAGAAATTGAGACATTGACAATCTTTTCTGTCACTTTTAAATATCTTAAACTAACATCTGATAATAGACTTAATGAGTTAGCGCCAATCCAAAAAATCCAAAAGTCACATATTCCTTAAAATTGAAACAAGACCAAGCATAGGATATGTCTTTCTCTACTCTTGACAGGCCTAATTGGTCTGATGATTTGGCATGGATCAGCACTTGTGTTTGACATTACTTTGCAGTGTATGTTTTTTGATTAGTTAGTAAAAGATTGTTGTCATTTTCAGGCTACTGAGCATTACAAGCAAGTGATAGCAACTGACATAAGTAAAGAACAATTAGAGCATGCCATATCACATCCCCAAGTTCATTACTTGCATACCCCATTAACGATGTCCGATGACGAACTAGTGAACTTACTTGGGGGTGAAAATTCAGTAGATCTCATTACTGTGGCTTCAGCTGTTCATTGGTTTGATCTAGAAAAGTTCTATCCAATCGTCAAGCGCGTTCTAAGAAAGCCAGGAGGCATATTTGCAGTTTGGTGCTACTCGGAAATGAACTTTAGCCCAGAAATGGATCTTCTCTTAAGGATCCAGTTTGAGAGAACCTTTCCTTTTCAGAACCCAAATTTAAAGTATGCATTAGAGTGTTACAAGACACTTCCATTTCCTTTTGAAAGTGTAGGTGTTGGGTGCGAGGGTCAGCCACTGGAATTGGACATGGAAAAGGAGATGTCATTTGAGGGACTTTTGAAGTTTTTAAATTCAATTTCAGCATTTAACACAGCCAAGGAACAAGGAGTAGATTTATTGTCTGAAAAAGTTGCCAAGGAACTTGAGAGTGCATGGGGTGGTCCTGAACTGGTTAGAACTGTTATCTATAAGGCATACATGCTTGCAGGGAAGGTTAAGCTCTAGGTGGAAATAATTAATACAGTAATGTTTCTCCCTTGAGCTGGATCCATTGTACTTCAATGCTTGTTTAACATTCAAGAATAAATTAATATTGTTTGAATTAGTAATTTGCCAATCTCACTGTGGTATTTGGATATGGTGTTGAAGTTCAACAACTGCTTTACTCAAAAAATATTAATTTGGCTTCTTCTGGGCTGAAATGAATCCAGTTTCTTTCCTTTCAACATCTTCTCTCATTGACTATAAGAATATGGCAGGTTTTGTTTGACAAGCAGGCAACAATTACTACATACATTAAAACCAAATACCCTTATGTCAGGAGCTTCACTGCTGCCTGGAACAGTGAAGCTCCTTCAGATGTCTCTTTTAAACGGTGTTGCTTGGTTTGTCCTGCAAGCACAACTCGAAGACAAAGTTGTACCAAGCACTAGGACTGAAAAAAAAAAAGAGTTTATCATGAATTTTACAGAAATGAAGTTAATTTGTTAAAAATTTAGCTTGGTGTTTACTCAATATGATACAACCGATCCATAGAAAACTCGGAGAGACTAAATGGCATTGTGGAGGTGCTTTAGGTTGCCTCTATATTGAGCCGGCAATACATCTACAAATAATTTACAAATGAATAAGCTTGATAAGGAAACACAAACCAAAGGTAACATATATATATATGTGTGTGTGTGCACGTGGATTATAGTAAGGACAATAATCACCTTAACGAAAATATAAGGTATTTTTTGTACGTAATTAAGCACTGCTACGATCACTTTAAGATTTCCCACAACGGAGGCTTTATATATGTGTGTATTATAGAAGGGTATTTTCAAGATTTCTAGCTCCTGTGAATTGTAGATAGGCTTTGTTAGGTTACAAACACACAAAATTGAGCCAAAGAAGAACGACTAAATACCTGATGAAGTTGGAAGGATATCTTCTTTTTGATGTCTAGCAACAAGGGTTCCCCTTCGGACCCATGTCATTGAAAGGATATATATGTGCATTGGGACAGTGAAAATCATCATCAGGGTACAATACTGCCAGGGTTCAAGAGCTTGGGGATGCATGAGGTGGCCCTGAATTGATCAGGTCCGTCACTTGCAAGGTCTCCATGCATGCTGGAAAAATCAAGCTGTGGCTTCTTCTTTTTTTTTTTTTTTTTCCTTCTTCTTTTTTCTCCCTTTGTTAGGCAAATGCACTTGTGAAACTAGATAGAATACATAGTGTCCAAGCAAAAGCAGCTTGGAAGAATGAGACAAGCATGAAATACATGATTCTGAAACAAGCAGATGATTAGTCCATCAAATATAAAACATGCACAACCTCAGATCATCATACCCATTTGCTTCTTCCCATAGCATCTGATCAATCTGCTGGTGCCGGGAGCCACTCTGTTACCAATTGATGCATGTCAGAGACAGAGATAGAGAAACTTCATCGATTATTCCCAAACAATCAAGGGTTACCTTGTACCATCTATGTACAATCACAACAAAGCTGTCTTGTGCCTCAGAATCATTCCTAACAGCAATATATCTACCCTTCCACAGAGTGGAAAACGCACAGAAGCAAGAGCTTAAGAATTCCACTGCCTACAATGACGACGACACTCTTTACAGGCAACTTGTAACGATTGAGATCTAACAAATCATCATATGGTCAGCATTGCTTTACTCACCTCCTAAATCCTCAACTCTAACATGAGTACGTAGCCCTATGGTATGCCTTCATTCAATCAATTCGTCCAGGAGTTTCCAACATTCACAAAACAATAAACCGCAAGAACATGGCACTGTACTTAGCTGCGGTGTAGCCACTTGTGCAACCATAGTTTGTGCATTAATCAAACCTCCCCGAGCGAATTTTAAAGGCATATATCTTCACGTCGAACGAAGGCATTTAAAAGAATTTAATAAATTATCTTAGACGTATTTCAAAATTAGAATTTAAAATGTCAAAAGATAGATTAGAACTTTTTAATCATAGTTCAACATGGTAACGAATCCCATTTCACATGATTAAGTTCGCTCTTGGAGGATTTGAATTCGAGTTCTTTCTCATTAAAAAAAAAATTCAATTGACTCATAATATATAGCAGAATTGTAGATGATTTATAATGATTTTCAAAAGAAATTGGTGTATATAATCTCATTGTCAAGTAAAAAAAAAAAATGAAAATACATTAATAAATTTTTTTCAAAAGAAAACTGCATTATTTATTTATATTTTTAAAATATAAGGACCGAGTTATAATTAACTCGTAATTTATGCCTCTGCTTGTATAAAATTAAACAACTCTATTTGCTAGTAGGGTAAGCATTCTATTTTTCGGTTCGAATTTACTATTTCGGTTCGATTGCAACCAAATACTGCTCGCTCCTACTTGCTAGACTAAAAAACGCTGCGTTTCATCTCCAGACTCGCATCTAGCTTAGGGTTTGGACAGAATCAATCAGCAACTTCGGTGACTAATAGACACCATCTCCATCCGCCAGCTACAACAGCTCCGGCGAGTCCAACTCTCCACTCACCACCACTCCGCTTTCAATGAAGATGTACGTTTCTAATTATTGAATAATTTTGTGCTTTTTTCTTCTTTTTTTCGTAGATAATAAAAATTTGAAGCAAAAAATATGCAGAAAAAACCCAAATGCAGGTGCCCTAACCAATTTTGAAGTGCTTGATTTTCTAAGATCAAGAGGTGCTTCAAAGGACGTTTCGCGGGTTCTTGCTCCTGTAGCAACATCAGAATACAAGGTTGTTATTTCTCATTTATTTATTTTATTTGGTATGTCATTCATGGCGCAAAAGTACCCCTTTAGCCGACCGCAACTAGTTTGGAATTGAGCTTTTTCCTGTTGTTGAGTTTGTTTGTAGGTTTATGATTATTTGGTTGACACTCCTGCGTGCAATCAAACAAGAGAAAAAATCATTGAATTTGTAGAGAGATGTAAGAAGTACGATCTTGCAAAAGCTGAGGTTCTTAACATTATCAACATTAGGCCTTCTCAGACTGTCGAGATTTATACGGTAAATTTTTTGTGCAAATTAGCCATTATATCTTGTGAAATTTGTGATTTTGGTGCTGTTTTCTCAAGTCGCTTGCCAATTTGCTTTATGTTTTTGAGTTATTCATATAGCCGTAAGGTTATAGTTTGGAATGCAGATATTGGCCTGTGTGAGGTTTGAACGCTCAAATTTAGTGCTGTGCCGTGCCTTGGTGATTGCTTTGTTCTCGTAAAGTCTGAAAATTTCCTAAGTCTAGGAATTGGTGGTTGTGCAATTTCATCATGTCTAGATAACAGGTTTAAAGTAACTGATTGACAAGGTGGGATAGTACTGGATTCAGCAGTTTGATTTACCGAGCAGAAGAAGTATTGATGTGTCCTTTTCTTACATTAGTTGCAAATTTTGTTGATGAAATCGTGGTGTATAGCAGAGCTGAACAGTATTGAGTTATGAATGATAAGGGAGAGGAAAATGGAATAGGATAAGGTGTGATAGATCAGTTGAAGATTGTAGAACTCTTACTCAGATATATGATTACTTTCTACACAATGAAATTTGAACTTGAAATTTATCTTGGATTTCAGCCTCTTTGGAAATTTTCTACAACTTCTAGGAATTCTTGGCTTTTGAATCAGTAAGCTCGTTGTTACCATAATGCTGATATGAATGCATTCTAGTTGAGTTTGTTCCGCTAAATGGGTGTTTTTGGCTACTGTGATAGTGAGAAATCCTTTTGATAAAAACTAGTTGAAAATCGAAGTATCAGACCTACCTACCTCATTTCCCAGTTGCATCCATAACACACAATGTAGTGTTGAAGTTAAGGACCTTAACATTAGCTTTTTATCTTAGGGTAAACCACCAGGATGTTGGAGAACATGTGTCAGAGTATTTTATGTTTCAAAGGCATCTGGTGTAGCATATATTATGCACAGTCTTCATGTTTTATTCACAAGAGATAAATGGGATCTCTAAATAATTCAGACTTGAGGGGAAAATATAGGCACTGATTCACTTCAGACCTAAAGAGTTGCATTGCTTTTTCTGCTAGAAGTTTGCAGAAGTAAATAAAATTTATAGTGACCATTAGGATTTGTTAATTTTGTGCTCTGTTAGACATTGATACACAGCAGAGCTAAAGAATTACATGGCTTATTCTGCTATAAGTTTGCACGAGCAAATAAGATTTTTGAGTGACCACTAAGATTCATTCATTCTGTCATTTGTGATCTGTATATTTCATGGCTTATCATTGTTAACGATATGTACCAAAAAAAAATAGGGGTTGGATTTTATAAGAATTTGGCATCTGCTAATAGCTTTCAGAATTGTTAAGTTATCAATAGCCTTCTTGGTGTGACTCAAGTATTGTTGTCTTGTTTATGAGATATAAACATGTTTTTTGAAGATACATCTGTTCTAATCTGATTTTTGTCTGTATTTAATCGGTAGCTTCCAGCCTTGGGCTTGAAAGTATCATGGACAATAACTGGCTAAATGATTTCTTGGATTTATGGTCATTGTGAATGTTGCAGCAAATCTGATAATGTTGTTAGAAATTAATATTCAACCTGATAATGATCATAAGCCTGGGTGAAGGAATTACGCTATGCAGATACTGTCTAATTGCCGAAGTTTATAATCTAGAAAAATAGCGCTGTTTGCTTTCCTGATGATGGCCAATCTCCTCACCTTTCTTTTGCTTGCATCTGGTTGAAGGAATTGTATTATTGTGGTCAATGATTGTATTGATCAAAGTTCACTAGGAAGACGGCTATTACTTGCTCTCCTGGTCAATATTGCTTCTCTCCTCTTCTTTTTCTTCACGTCAGTAACAGTGGTTTCCTTTGCTAGCTCATTAAATATTTACTTCTCTTATATTTGACAGATCATAGAGGAACTGGAGGCACGTTTTGAAATGCCGGTCATTGAAGAGCTAGTAGAATTGGTTGAAGAGGTGTTGCCACCTCCTCCAGGCCAACAAAAAGCCGAAGGAGGAACTGATGAGAATGAAGAAGAACATGGAGACGGGGAAGAGAACAATGAGGAAAACGAAGCTGCAGATGAGGAAGAACCGGAAGCAAGTTGAGGATAGATGCTGGATTGTCAAAGTAGAAACTAATCAGCATCTAATGTTGTTCATGATATTACAAAAGTAGAGTGATTTAGGATGCGTAACAAATGTAGTTAAGTTAATGAAACTTAAGATGATTTTTCTTTTAATCTTGGGTTACTGAATTGAATGGATTAGCTACCAATTCTTATCGGTAGGCATAGTTGGAAGTTATGCATATGTGCAATGCATACAGAGCTGACACGGTCTTTTTTAGCAGCTTTTTAACTTATCAAACGTGGTAAAACATTGTGGAATAGCTGTACTAAATCAATCTTTCTAAAACTATTGCAAGCCCAAATTGTATGATTTATTTTTTTGTACTTTTGAATGAGAAATATTGTAGCCTATCCTCAGTTTTAAAGTTTTTACATCTTGTTTATGTCTTTATGTTCTAAATAATTTATTTTTTTTAAACGGAAACAACGGTGGCTGAAACAACTGCAGTCGAAACTGTTTTTGAGGTGGAAAAGAAAAAAATTGAGTTGTTGGTCTAATTGTGAAAGCGTCAAAACCCAGTTCCTAAGAAGTTACCAAAAAATAATAAAAATAATTGCTTCGCTTGTCATCCTCTCCGCTCCCTATTTATTGCAATTTTCAAATCCATATTTATTAGGAAAATCTATTACACTAATATCCGAGTCAGATACGGTCGGAGGCATTGGTCCATCTTTGCCATAAGGACTTTGTTATAAACAGATGCAAAATACAAGGATTCCATATAATATTTTTAAATAAATGGACCAAATAGTAAGTTTTATGAAAATACAGGGACTAAAATAGTTTACTCAAGTTCAAACATTAAACAGCGTTTGACTGTTTTTAATCTTCTGCCATCCTCAGGAGCCTTAGCAAAGCTGGTATTAGTCTAGTAGTAGCCAAAAAAACACATCAAAAATGTCAATGTCGCCACTAAAAGTCCTCTCTTTACTCGCGCTCTTCTCCCTCACATTCCCACACCCCTCCTCCTCCACCACCATCTCAGCCGCCGGCGACGACGCCACCGTATGCATCATCGGCAGTGGAATCGGCGGCTCTTCAGTCGCTCACTTCCTCCGCCAACACTCCACCAACCACCATCCAAAAATCCTAATCTTCGAAAGACACGCCATCGTCGGCGGCCGGATGGCCACCTTGACAATCGGCGGAGACACGTTTGAGGCTGGAGGTTCAATTCTCCACCCCAAAAACTACCACGTGTGGAATTATACTAATTTACTAAATTTGACAAGGAAGAGACCGTCCAGTTCAGAGAGCTCGATTTCATTAGGGATTTGGGATGGTAATGGGTTTGTTGTTAAAACCCTAGATGTGAAGTCAAATTGGGGAATTGTGAACAAGATTGTGTCTTTTTTTAATGGAGTTTATTTGTTTATGAGATATGGGTTTTCGCTTGTGAAAATGGAAGGGTTTGTTGATGAGACGGTGAATAAGTTTTTGAAGTATTATGAAGGAGTGGAAACAAGGCCAGTTTTTGAGAGTGTTGAGGAAATGTTGAAATGGGCTGGTTTGTTTAATCTTACATCAAAGACTTTGAAGGAGGAGCTGGTTGATAGTGTTAAATTGGCTCCCTTGTTAATTAAAGAATTGGTCACTGTAAGGATTCTCTCTTTCTTTTTCTCCTCATTTTGGCTCATTTGCTTTGAATTCTTTTGGTGGTTCGTAGTTTAGTTTAGTGTGACTAGAAATGGGATTGGCTTGTATAGTTGTGTGTGATTCTCTCTTAGGTTTCCTTTATACAAAGACAAAACATGACACAAATGGCAATTCAGGAATAAAGAAGGAAATTAAAATACAGTAGTCTGAACTACAAGATATTACTGGAACAGTAGTGATGGTATGAACTGCTTGTATTTTGATGATGTGGTTGTCGAGTTTGTTTCTTGAAATGGCTCCCTTTTTTATGTTTATAGTAATTGCCTTCACCTGTTATAACCCTGTTACCAGTTCCAAATCAGTTGCCATTCTGGCCTAACTTATGTGACTTCACTGGCAAAACCATAATAGGCAATGGTTCTACTGTGTATTTAAGAAAACCCAGAAATCACCAGCAACATGAAAAACTAAAAATAGCTATCACTCCAAAATATGTTACCCCTTCCAAAAAAAAAACCATTGCCCAGTTATGTTCCTGTCAGAGTGGAGTCTTACGAGTGAGAGTGGAAGGGTTGTTCCTGCCCTTCAACTTTTTTACATAAAGTGACTGCATTTGAGACTTGAACTTCGCACTCTTGTGGTTACAAGTTCAAGCTTTTTACTATTGTAACAAAATCTTTTAAAGTAACGTTTACGCTTTCTATGCTGTTGATTTTCTGAATTTTTTCATGCTATTGGTTCTGTGCCAATCACTATTTAATTATCGTGTTACCAATTTTGTGAAAACTGTTTTGTGTTTTCCATTTTCTTGTTTTGGCAGTTCTCCAAAAGTAAAAACAAACATCGTTGCTTTCTTTTCATTATTTTTGCTGCCTTTAACTACCATTTTGTCCTTTAGAAAAAGAGAGAGAGAACAAGACAAATTATTTAGAATGGCAGTTTTCCTCAACCTCTAGCTTGCTAAGTCAGAAGCACCCTAAATGTGTATTGAGAAGTAGAATTGCATTATGTGAGGACTACGAAAGATATGATTTCTTTAGATTCTGTTAGACTAAAATATGAAAGTGGCTCATATTTTGGTAGTTTAGCGAAGAGTTTTGAAGAATTATTGACAACTCAGATTTCTGTTGAGTTGCATGCAGGTCATTACAAGAATTAATTATGGTCAGAGTGTCAACATCAGCAGCCTTGCTGGTGCAGTTTCCTTGGCAGGATCTGGTGGAGGTTTATGGGCTGTTGGAGGAGGGAACTGGCAGATGGCTGCTGGACTAATCAATAGTTCAGATGTTGAACTGCATCTCCATGAAGAAATAGATTCTATCTCTCATCTTGCAGAATATTATGAGCTCAACTCCACAGAAGGAAATAGTTATTCCTGTGAAGTCACAGTGGTTGCTACACCACTGGATGAATCGAGTATTCAATTTTCACCTCCAGTTTCAGTTCCTAAGAGGCGATTGCAACACACACATGCAACTTTTGTGAGGGGCCTCTTAAATCCTGTAAGTATCATGGCAATTACGAATTTCATACTCCTCCAGGGGTTTCTGTTCATAAATATATTCTTTTATGGGTTGTCCTTGCCAGCCTGTCTTTCCCACTATATCGATAGTTCATATTTTATTCATTAAATTCTCATGTTTGTCATGGATAAAGGTATACTTTAGCCTCAAAGCTGTTTCAGAAATTCCAGAACTGGTTGCCACAATAGAGGATCCTCATCTTCCTTTCACAAGCATTTCAATTCTCAAGCGTTACAATGAGACAGATATGACATACAAAATATTCTCTCGTCAGGCAATGACTGATGCATTACTGGATAGCATCTTTAGGTAATACTGTTAATTGTCCTTAAATGTTTAATCCTCTCCATGGCAACCGAGGATCATAAAAACTTAATTAGATGTTTACTGTCAAGATTTTTATCGTGCTAATATTGGTTATTGTTCCACTGCCTGACCTCTCCTCAGCCATTAGAGTAGTGGCCAACTCATAATATGGTTGTATCTGGTTTCCTTTAAATAATCTTGGGCTGTGATTAAGACAGTTGTGTCTCAGATATTCTTGCACGAGAACTACAACTATCTAACAAAAATTGCATAGTTTTGCTGAATAAATGTATACAGTCCATCTCCACCCACACCTTAAATTATGCTTTTTGGTGCAAACAAAACTCTTATGTTCTGTACTGATCGTTGTTCATTGCTGCTGCTGGTAGTGTGAGGAAGGAGACTATTCGAATTAACTGGGCTGCTTACCCTCATTACAAGGCTCCTGAAGAATTTGCACCCTTTATTTTGGATGGTCAGCATTTGTACTATGTGAATGCTTTTGAGAATGCAGCTAGCACCATGGAGACAAGTGCTGTTGCAGCCGAGAATATAGCACGGCTCATCCTGTCAAGATTTTTTGGCAAGGATTCCTCATGTCCATCGGACTTAAAGAGAACTTGTTCTGATGCAGAGGTGCTACATTCAGATATGTGATTCATCTGTATGATGCCTAGTATTTCTTTTTTCTTTTCTTTTCTTTTTTCACAAAATGTAATTAAGATCAGGTGATATGTAAACTTTTATGCAGAAGAATCCTTGAAACCATTACATCAGCATAATGCATGTACAAATATACAAAGCAATAATATTTGTAAAAAATATTTATGAGGTATGTTATTTTTAATAGGTATTTTTGTGTATTTTGCATTATTGTAGAAAAATGGGGTTTAGATATGATTTTTAATAAACGATGACACAGAGCAGATGGGAAAATGAGTCCTCTGATTCATTAATTTCTATTTTCCCATTGATTTCTATAAAATAGTCTTGTTCAGTTCTCTCAAGCAAAAGCATGTTGCGCAAGAGACCTTTGCCCATCTTAAACTCACTGTGTGAAGAAATGGCTTGAGGCTTTTCGCACAAGGCATGGGGATACTTTGACCTGAGCCACCCAAAATCTTCCCATGCTCTACATTAGTCTGGCATGCTAGTGCTTGCTAGCAAATCAAACACAAAGAGGGTGTAGGCAGAAAATGGAATTCAAGCATGCAACCATGAAGCATCAATCCTTCACTGGTCCAGACTAGCATAGCTCAAAGCCTGAGCCTTAGTACCAAACCAAATCTCAAACTTAGGTTCATTTCGTTTTGATATTTAGCTTGAATCCTGATGTGTTGAACTCTTGAGGCCACATACCATAGCTCCATATTGTATTCATGTTGGCATTTGTGAGCACTCTTTTTTCAGAGTTTATCTTGTGCACTAAATCAGGTTGCCCCTTGAAAGAATTGTAACTTGAGTTCAAACTGGAAGTCCCAATAATCTGATCGAGAAGAATGATTTACCTAAGAGAGCTATTTGAAATGTCAAATTTCCTCTAAAGTGCCTCTTCTGGTTTGCCAGCGTTTTGATTTAAAAGTGTTGCAGAAATTAAAGGTGCTAGAACTTCAATCGCTCATTTTATTGATATGCCAATTTTTCTTCTCTGTAATTAGGTGAGCAAATCCTTGACACCTGATAAAATCAAAATCAAATTGAATGATTTTGCTAGTCCATAAAAAAGAAAAAGCTTCCTGACAACCATCAACAATACCATTTGGCACTGAAAGTGATTTACAGTAGATGAGAACGTCAAGGAGAAAAGAAATTTCAACATTTAGGAGACCGAATTTATCCAAATACCAAATATATAAGCCACATGGTGAATTTACAGCTATGAACACATCTTATGTGATTGCAGTTGCAAAAAGAAACCAACATGCGCTATTGCAAGTTTTAATCAAGTTGGAAAAAAAGAATTCGTAACGTACAAGCTTAGGTGAAGGCCACCTCCACATGAATCATCTAGGACGGCTAGCAGCTCCTCGAGACTGCAATGTTGCTGTAAATGTTTGCCTTGATCATGCTGGCAATGGTTCCTCCAAAACTGCATTTTGGAAATTGTCAGGTTATTGAATTGCTTGCGCATACATATATAGAGGGAGGGGCAGAGAGAAGATGACCTTTTCTCTTGGTGGAGGCCTCAGCAGAAGCAATTTCAGCATCGTCCACAAGCACAGGTGGTTTTGTTGGTACGTCAGGAAGGTCCAACTTCTCCTGTTCCTCAGACAGCTTTGTAGTGGGCACTTCTGGCAAGTCTTGAACGGCCATCTAAACAAACAAAAAAGTTTTATTTTTCAAAAAATGGAAAATGAAAGGGAAATACAGACATTTCTCAAGATGGACAAAGTCAAGACCAAGTAAAAACATATAGTCTACCAACAGAAAGTGGTAGTAAAATTTACCAGAGGATAAACAGCCATAAAATAAGAAATGTGATAGTAAGGCAAAATCCAACTCCATCTGATTTTTAATCAACAATAATATTCCCCTCAAACTTCTATAAAAGCCAAGGCAACAAAAATACAAATCAATATGTTAAATGTGCGACCCATAGCTCCTAGTGCAATATAAGTTGAGATATCTTAAGGGGAGGGCTGAGCTGTGATCATGGAGAAAGGGAGGAAAAATACTCAAGAAAAGCTCATTTACATCCTGGAATGCTTAGAAAGGTAAACAAACAAGGAATAAAAGGCAAAAAGATAACTTTTTTTATGATAGCAGTACAACCTACATGTTTAAGAAAATATTTAAATACACTTAACAAAACTACCATGCCTTAAATTGGAACTAAATGAGTTTCATAGCACGAAGAAACTGAATGATTTAAACAGACATAAAATGCAGGAGGAAGTATAACAAACATACAACACATCTCGTGAGACAGTTGTGATGTAAGAATTAATCATACCTGAGTTTCCATGTTCTCAAATTCAGCTAAAATCTCCTCTTCGTCTTCTGCTGATAATTTCTCCCCCAAGATAGCATTAATTTCCTTCAAAACCGTTATGATTTAAATACAAATGAGGAAAAACAAAAGTACATGGAGAAGGCAAACCTGAACATAAGGAATGACAAATGGCAAAAGTTCATATTCTTCCCCATTAGAAAAGTACAAAATAAACACTATAAAAGTCACAGTAGAAGCACATACAAGAATCGAGTTATAATCCTTATAAATGCAGTAAAAACTTATGAACTTCTGCACAGATAAAAGAGCATTTCTATTTTCTATATGCCAGAAACATTATATGACATTGCAAAGAGTTGATCTTATAGAAATATTTTTAAGCATACAACTCAATATCAAATTCCATTCCAGTGGTTCTGAACTACTGACAACTTCAGATCCATCTACAGCACCTATATGTTTCCATGTGTGTGCATGCATGTGCAACACCATACACATACACAACATATATATTTATATATATCACGGATAGATAATTCAACAAGATAAAATATCTAAACAGAATGTCAAAGATAGTCCAGAAATAAATAAGATTCAATATGGAAACTCACATCTTGATAAGCTTTAGCTTCAGCGGTATCATCCATTAGCTTCTGAACATCATCCAGATTGACCTCACTTTGTATTGCCTTGATTGCATCAGTACCTGACTTTAAACTCTCAAAAACAGCTTTCTGCTTGCTCACCAGCTCAATATCTGCCAACTGAAACAAAACACATATTGCAGAACATCATATAACATTTGAAACCAATCTACATTTCCATAATTTTTACGTACCTGTTGTTCGACATTAATGAGCCATGTATCGACTTGCTTCAACAATTCTTCTTGTGTTTTCTTCTTTTTCAAGGCTAACAATGCCCTGTCTTTTCTCTTTTCACGAATCAAATCTTTAGCAGCTTGCTTTTCCGCTTCAATCACAGTTTCAAGCTGGAACATTTCAACCACAAAAGAAAGTAATAATCACAAATAAGCGATCCTTTCCTCAAATTCAGCCTAGGCCACATTAATCATTTCCATCAACAGGACAACATTACAATCTTCCAAGACACTCCAAAAGTTGCCTATTTCAAAGTTCTGAAACTGACCTACTTCTATAAACCTAAAAATACAAATTCCTTGAGTAGCTCATATAAAAAAAGCTTGAATTATTTGTAGTTACTGATAGAAGCAAACCAAGAACAAAAAAACAACTCAAAAAAAAAAAAAAAATTCCAAACTTTCCCTTACCCTTCTGTTGTTGCATAATTTGGTTAAGAAATCCACATTTTAGGCACTAAACAGAGATTCTTTTTGCAAACTTCAGGGTAATCAAAACTTTCAATATAATTAAGCAGAAAAAAAATCAAACACGAAAACCCATTAAATTTCAAAGCCTAAAAAGTCATAAAATTGAATTGAATTAGAAAAAAGAGAGGGACCAACCTGTCCTTGATATTGGGCAAGCTTGCGTCTTTGAGTCTTGAGAGAGAGAATGGCTCGATCAACATCTGTTATCTTCGGTTTCTTCACAAATATATTTCCCATTTATCAACCTGATTAGAGATTTAATCAGGAAAAAGGGGTTTTCAAAACCCTTTGTAGGCTAATAATTGAAGGTTTATGATACTGTCGCAGAGCAGAAAATTTTCCTCTCTGATTTTCTATTTTTTCTTTTGATGCCCAAAAATCCCTGTTTCAGTTGATGAGTCCAACAATTTTTTAAAATTTTTAAATTTTACTGTTTTGGCTTTTTGTTGACCTTTTGAGTTATGTATTACAGTATTAGTCCCTGTATTTTTAATGATTTCATATGTTTATCCCTTTGGTTTCAAAAAACCTCATGTGTTGTAAAACCAAGGTGCAATTAATCAAAGTAATATTTAATAATTAACTATTATATAAAACAAAATTGAATTTATTGTTTTGGATAATAACTTTTCTATACGAATATAATATTTTTTAATGGGTTTAGGTCAGAATTATTTTTATGTGTATGGTTTGAATACAGATTTAAAAAATAATTTTTTATCGAATATAAATCAGGAATGAGTATAATATTTTTCAGAGTGGGATATGAAATTAGCTTAACAAATGCATACTTAACGAATCAATATAATAATATGATAAATGTTCTCTTAATCACACTCTCATATAATAAATCAATTAAGCATAACATTTAGTTATTCATATTTTTAAAACTACCGCCCACGTGCATTATATTTTACTTATGAATTAACTTAAGTTTCCTTTCAAAAGTATGTTGTCGGAAAAAAGTTAATATGTCAGTATAATTAAAAAATCATCAACAAATTAAAACTGACAATTAATTATTATTTTTATACAAGAATATTGATTTTTTTTAATCTTAATGGTATCCTAAATTCAAAAATTCAAACTAATTTATCGTTGTTTAGTTATCTAAAAAAATTTAGGTACAAAAAATTTGAATTTAATACCAATTGCTTAAGTCATTAGATTTTTTTTTTTTTTTCAAACCAACTCTTTTGGACATGCAAAGATATTGTTTGAAAAAACATGGAACAAGGATACTTAACAGTTTCCTCTATCTCTCATTTTTCTTTCTTTTTTTTTTTGTTTTTATTTTCCAATTTGCTTACGCGTCCAACAGGAACATTACACCTGTTATTATCAGCCAAATTCTACAACGGCGTTGCCATCGAATGCGGCTGCCTGCTTTCAATGCCATTTGCCTTTTAAAAATGACACGTGGCTTATATTTGTTAAATGAGCATGTGACGAAATGGGAAAATCGGTTGCCCACTGCAGAAGAGAGAAATTGCCCCTTTCGCCGATGAAATATCGACTAGGGGTGAGCAAATAATTTGATTAATAAAAAATTAAATATAATCGAGTCGAAATATCTAATTTAGTTTGATTTTTTGTTTTAATTTATTAAAAAAAATCAAATTAAAATTTGATCATTTTTCTGTTTTGATTTTTAAAAATTTAAACCAGTTTCCATCGAAAATAGAATACCTCACCTAATTATATTTTATATAAATTAAAATAAGCTTAAAAATAAAATTTAACTGAAATTAAGCTTTTGGATTTTCACTTGACTTTTGCAAATTCAAACTTCAATCCATAAAATGTCATGAACTTTAAAGGACAAGGCCCACACGAATCACAACCCACAAGTAAAAGAGGACAAGTCAGGCTTAATTTGTAACTTATCCCCCACCCTCCAAAAGCTAAACTAAACGATGTGGGATAGAGGGAAGCTCAAATGGTGAGTTCACTATCCTACATCGAAAAAAACCATACTTTTGAGACTTGGAAAGGTATATAAATAACCCATCTCACTAACCAAAATTAATAGATTTAAAATCATCTCACATCGAAAAAGAACTCATGTATGAGTTCGAAAATATTTATAAATAGTATAGGTCGTGGGACAATAAACTTGAACTCTCATTTTTATTTTCTAACTTTTCTTTTGGATAAGTGTAGTAGTGTTGATAATTTCGGTTAATACCGAAAAATTGAAAATAAAAACCAAAATAATTTGAAACCGAAATTTATCTACCGAATTGTTATTTGGTTTGGTTTGGTTGTAATTTTTTTGTATTCGATTAACCAAAAACAAAACCGAAATAGTTAAAAACCGAATCGAAAAGCTGTTTGCTCACACCTACTATCGACAAGTAACCAAAAAGAAAAGAAACCTATGAGAGCCATAGGTAATCGGAATGGGAGAGTGGAGGAGGTAACCCGATAGGAGACAAGAGTTAGTTTCTGCAGTTTAACAATATTAATGAATTAGACCTTGGAGTTCCACAAACTATTATTGCTTGGTTTAAAGAATAACTATTTTTTATATACCAATTTGCTCAATATTGTCATCACTTGATATTTATGAGACTTCCAAAAAATTATATTAAAAATAATTGTTTTGCTTATTTTTGGTTTCATTAGGGGTGCGAGGTAAACTATATTTTGGAGTTGTCACGTAGTATTAAAAAAACTAAAAAACCTCAAAAAGCACTCGGTTTAGAAATTTTAGAGTAAGGAGTTGGTTATGCTTTTAAAAAGATATCGATCACCCGAAGCACCCTCTTCAAGAAAAGGTTCCGCATTTGATTTAATCAAATATATAAGCTATCAAAAAAACACATAAAATATTTAACTTTCAAATTACCACATACTTCCATAGTACATATATATCGGTGTTAATTAATTTAAAAGAAACAGATCGGAGAAATGATAATTGAAAGTAAACTAGAAAATAACTTGAATATTTATAGTATTATCACTACATCTTACTAATTAGCAGAGACATTGGTGTTAGGTTTGTTGCGGTGGCGTTGGGTGGTTGAGAAATCCTTGGGTGGGCCGTAGGTAATAATTGTTGGGTGAGGATGGACAACGAATGGGTATCCAAAGAGAGAGAGCGGTGAGTATTAAGAGAAAGATGAGTAACGTGAGAGCGAGACAACTCATGAGAGAAAGAAAACAAATATTTTCTTCTTTTTTAGCTCGAAAGTCACTTTTTCAAAAATAATCTATTAATTTTCGTTGACTAAAAATCAAAATTTATTGACTTTTTTGTCCTAAATGCGAAGCAAATATTGAAATAGGGGGAAATGAAAAAAAATAAATTCCCGAAACTTACTTTTTCGAAACAAACACAACCTAGAAAAAAAGATGCTTTTGGAACAAAAACTTACTAAATCGAGTCAATGTAAGACAAGTGATTAGTTAATTATTTTTTTATACCGCATAGGCTAATTATTTTTTATAAACTTTAAAAACTAAGTTATGATTAACTCAAAAGATGAAGGAGAAATGAGAAAAAAAAAGGAAATTATTCCAAAATTTTGAATTAATTTTTTATAATGAATCTAGTGCTTTTGAAGCTTATGGTGTGAGCTTTAATTTCATACATGCATTGCATATATAGTTTCAATTAAAATAGTTTTAGATGCCATTATCAAGAGAGCATGAGTTCCAATTGAAAATTTAACTTCAAATTTGTAAAATTTTAAACCATTTTAATGAAATTAGATTCCATCGCATCTTTTTTCATGGTTTGAGCTTTTATATTATATATTATTTTATGATTTTCATTGAGTTAAAAATCAAAACAACTCTTGATGTTGTGATGTTTTGTTCTAGTAGTTCATGAGAATTATAAGAAAAACATTAATGTATGATTTAATTTGAATGAATTTTTAAAATAATTGTCATAATCCAAAATTTGGGTTATATTTATTTTCTAGTATTTTTTGTTTTATTTATTTATTTTTACTTTTACTTACTTTTTATTATATTTTATTTTTATATTTATTCTGATCTATTTTTACCACTATTAGCTTTATGTTTAAGCTTAAGAATTATCATTTTTTTTAAAAAAGAGCGGTTTTATTACATAATCAATTTATCAAAACAAAAAGAAAAGGAAAATGAAAATACAAAAAATATAAACACAAGCAAAACTAAAAAAAATAATAAAAAATAAAAAAATAAAAAATAAAAAAATAAAAAAAATAAAAATCTTGCATGAAATATTAGGGGTATAATCGAAAGGAATAAGGACTAAAATTGAAAACAACTAGATTTGAAATTGGAAGTCAATTAGAATAAAATTAAATGAAATAGAAATGTAATTGAATGAAATCGGGACTTAAATTGAATACCAATAGGGGTACAATTTTGCTTCATATGCTTCGTTTTCTCTTCTTTATCATAGGGTTTCTTACTCTTAATTCTTACTCTTAATATTGAAATGAACATCAAGGGTGTAATTGTATGGAATTAAAATTTATAGGGACCAAATTAAAATTGAGGAGCTAGCCACAATGACTAAAATCGACCAAATGACTTGTTGTTCGTTGCAATCCAAAATCAACCTCCTTCTCCTTGTACTCGTTCATCGTTTCTACCAAAGAAGACATGTTCATTCGTAACCAAAATTCCCGTCCGGCATTTATACTAGTCAAGAATCACGCTTCACACAACTTACCCGCACCACTCGCACCCACTCACAAACCAAACACCGAAAATTTTGTTTTGTTCATAAATAAAAAAGAGCCTCATTGTCGGTTTTGATTTTAGTAAGTAAGGGTTTGGATCATTTGAGAACGATCCTAGGGTGGAAATTCGATACAATAGAACTATAAATTGAGCCCCATTATAGGCTTTGAGGAGAGAGAGGGGGGATTTTAGGGATTGAGGATCGATTCGGGGTTTTCAATCTTCCGGGTTTTTAAGGAAGAATAATTTGGGTTTTAAGCAAAAAAAAAAAGGCGAGTTCTTCTAGGTTTATAGAAGCCATTTGGTTCACGATCATCCGGTTCTTGCTCGGTTCATTTTTAACTTGTTTTTGGGTCCGAAACAACCAATCAAACCTAGTCACCGAGACCGTCCCTAAGTACTCGCAAACAGAGGAAGAATAGCAACTCAAACATTCGAATTTCTTTGTTTTTAATCCTTTAGATTCATTCAAGTAATCCAACCTTTATTTTAAGTTCATTTATTTAATTATTTCTAGTATTTTATTTTAAATTTCAAGATCCAAAGGAATGGGTAAATGGGACCGATATGGTGAGCTCCTAATGCTCAAATCCTTGAAGTGTTGACAATGAAGTGAGGAGAATGGGTAGTTTGGCTAAGAACTTAGAGATAAAGGTTCTTTTCTTTAAGATGATTTACGGGGCGAGGGAGGAGGAGGAGGAGAAAAGGGGGGTGTTGGGAGGGTGTGGGGGGAAGTGCATTCGGGCCAGGAAAAAAGAAAGAAAAGAAAGAAAATAAGTAAGAAGGAAAAAACATGTTTGGGACAACGGACACGGAAGCTCGGATCTAGCCTAGTCCGGGAGAAAAAAAGAGAAGGGAAAGTGGGCTAGGTCCAGCCTAGTCCAGGAAGGAAAAATAAAAAAGGGTTTATCTAGTAGGCTTGGCCCGAGGGGCTTGGCTAGTGGGTTTGGCCCAATGGGCCCCACTAGGCCCAATAACCTCCAATTTTTTTCCAATTTTTTTTATACCATTCCCTTAGGAAAATTAGACCTAAAAATTTTCATGCATGCTTCATGTGTTCATTTCTTCTAGCTTAGGTATAATTTGTTTAGAATTTTGAAGTCCCCTTTGCCTATTTTATTTTATTTTATTTAATTTCTCTTTATTTACATTTTAGTTTAGTCTATTATTTAATATTAATTAAATCTAAAATTGTGATGGGTAATTTTAAACTCATACGTATGCTTTGGGTTTTAATCTTTTAAACTTTTGGTAATTTAGTTTCGATTTACTTAATGTTGAATATTGCTTAAATGACCGTTAGTTTGATTAGGTAATTAATAAATGGATGAATCATCGAATCTCTTAATTTTTAAGGATTGATGATAATTCTCCACCGAATTTGAAAACAAATGATAAAAAAGAGAAAACAAAAGAGAAAAAATATATATGGAAAATTGCTATGATAATTTTAACAAGTCTCTTATATGATAGAGACCGATATTATCAAAAATTTCAAACCCATCAACTTAGTAATGAAGATATTTTTCGACATATAGGTTATGTTGAGACTTAAACTAAATTTGATGTTGAATTGATAGGACTCCAAGTGACGAGGTTTGACAATCGATTCAATATGATGTCATAAAAAAATTAATTTGATTTAAGTAATAAATTTGAAATTTTTATTTGAGAAATAATTTGATAAAAATAGAGATTTTCTAAATATAAAATTTTAGGATTAAATCGGATGTTGAACCTTTTCTTGAAGAGGGTGCTTTTGGATGATCAATATCTTTTTAAAAGCATAACTCCTTACTCTAAAATCTCTAAACCAATACCTTTTTTTAGGTTTTGTAGTTTCTTTAATATTAGATGACAACTCCAAAACATAGTTTAACTCGCATCCCTAATGAAACTAAAATTAAGCAAAACAGACTATTTTTAATATAATTTTTTGAAAGTCTCATAAATATTGGGTAATGACAATATTGAGCAAATTGGTATATAAAAAAGAGTTATTTTTTAAACCTAGCAATAATGATCCGTCCCGCAATTTTGATAGATGTGATTGAAGGTTGAAGAAGACTCACTCTTCTTGGTAAGATTATAGAAAAAATATAATTGTGCTCATAGAGTAATTGAATCCGATTCTTAGTGTTTTTTTTTTCATGTACATCCTCGATTTCTTACATAATAGATCCCTCACTACCAATAATTTGTGAGTTGCCTCAAAATTAGTTTCTTTGATTCAAGCTTCCACCATTTGGATATAGTATGGATAGATGAATAGTGAAATTCCATTTACAAGAACAAATGTTGGTTACTCAAGAAAAGTATTTGCTATCTCGTTCAACAAATTAGTCTTTGACAAAAGAGGTAATTATTTAACTTTTTAAAACTTCTTTGAGATTTTTGCAACTACATTACAAATTATATATTTACACTAGTAAATATATTTTCAAATAATATATTGTGTAATTAAATTAGAAAATCAAGTAACTAATAAACGAGTTACATGTATACATGTGTGTGTATATAGGATCACTATTTATGCAGCAAAGTTAATATGTCAACAAGTTACATGCATGGACTTGATTGTGCAATTGATAACTTCATTTAGTGAAATAAGATTTGAGATTTGGTGAATATAGTTTTTCCTATTGTGATACGAGAGAGATATTATTCTTGCTAGAAAATATATCACACAACAAAAAGATAAATAAAAGATGAGTAATATATAAAGTTAAAAAATGGACATCCATCATAAAATTTAAATTTTTTGGATGAAATTCAATATCAACTATCTAATTCTATATGGTTTCAAAATTTCAAAAAGATCCAACAACCCTCGTTATTTTAGGACCTACATAGGTTAACGGGTTCTTGATTATTTTATTGAACGGATGAGATCGAAAGATTATAATCCAACAACGTGGAGGGCGAGATGCATTTAAAAATAGCATCGACATTGTAAACATAACGGTACTTTAGTAGGCTCCTTAATTTTATAGTTTTACTCTTAAATGGTTTAAACGCATAATTTACCCTCATTATTTGAGTTGTAGAAAAATAAAGCATATATTATCAATTTAAACTACTTAAATCTTAAATTATTAATTTTTTTAAATAATTTTTATTTTTATTTTGGTTATGTCTAACCAGCAAAGTATTACACTTTGCCGTCATATATAAGAAAGTATAATAAAATTTAATTTAATTTTGAAAAGCAATATATTTAATAATTTAATTTTTTTTACTAGATAAATCCATTGCATATCACTAATTATCTAATAAAAAAAGTTAAATTCATAAAAAACAAAATTATTTAAACTTTCTTAAATTTTTTTTTTCAAAATTAATTTTAAATTTAAAAAATCATTGTTTTAAACATTTCGGTTAATGATCAACATTTTGACCTTAAACAACAATAGAAATAATAAGAATTATTCAAAGCTTAATAGTTCAAAATTCAAATAACACATTTAAAGCTAAGGACACAATTTATTAAAATTTCAATAGTTTGAACTATTAGATCATTTTTAAATATTGGTAAAGATTGATTGCGGCCCTTAAAGCCAAGCATAGAATTAGATAACACAATACATAAAGTCCTAAACATTTTTCTTTTTTGAAATTATAAATTATCCATGATAACGAGGCATATATTTTCTTTTAAAGTAGTGTTACATAACACTAGTAGTATAAAAAAAGAAAAAGAAAAAAAGAAAAAGCTTGATGACACCATGGTGATATACACCATTTTCAAAAATAGAAATGGTTTAGGGGCAAATTTGAAAAGTGAAAATGTTAAATAACATAATACCCATTGAAATAAAGTACCATTCCTTGTATTCCTCCAAGAAAACACTATCCTTATAAAACTATGGTGATTTTTTTTTGACACCACTGGTGTCATGTAGCACTATTAAAAAAAATACTATTTTATAAAGATAATGTTTTTTTAAGGGATACAACGAAGGCAAAAAAGATGGGTAATTTTAAATGAAGTTATTATATCATTTAATTTTTTTATTTTTTAAATTTACCCGTAAAAACTTTTTGTTTTTAAAAATGATGTCTGCCACCATAGTGTTAACAAGCATTTTCCTTTCTTTTATTTCTTTGCTTTTATCTACTCTTAAGAGTTAAAATTTTTTTTCATATCCTTAAGAGAATACACATTTTTTTTTTTTTTGAAAAAACGTTTTCGATTTTTGTGTCAACAACAACCAAGAAAAAAGAGTCAAGTCATTAAGGTTTGCGGCAGAATAATTTTGCGCATGTATTACAAATGTTTAAAGTGCATTAAAAAGCTAAAAGACCGTCTTTTTTCTTTTCAGTTTAACTGCCTCTAACATATTTTTACACTTTGATCTTTAAATATTTTTGGAAAATCATTGTCCAGAAATACCTTTAAAACCAACAACACATAATTTAACTAAGATACTAAAAGAAGCCTATTTTTTTTCCTTTGCAATTTTCTCTTTGAAATTGTAGAATCACATCGATGACTTGGGGTTAACATTTTCTTTTATTTCTATTTTCTTGTTTGATTTTTCAATTGACACATTTTAAAATTTTTATAATTTAATTTTATGGTCTGATATTTTTAAATATTGTTGAAAATTACACCTCTAAATTAGTTTCTATTGAGTTTTAGGATACATCCTCAAAACCAATAATACAGAATTTAATTAACATATTAAAAGAAGCCCTATTTTTTTTTAAATTAAATAATTATTATCCATAACAATAGGACAAAATTTTTATTTTAATTTTTTTCTCATCCAATTCTTTTAAGCTAGTAACATTTTTCTTTTTTTCATAAGAAAATCCACATTTCTTCCCTAAGAAAAAAAAAGGAGAAAAAAGGAAAAAAGAAAGAGGGGGGTGCGCCGCAAATTAAGAGTGTCTTTGAACACACGTCCCGCACATAAATGGAAGGTAACTGAATCTAAAGAGTCAAAGTGTATTGTCTCTTACAATTCCCAACAGCAACAGCAAATAAAACCAAAACGAAAACAAAAACCAGCAACAATGCATTCAATGCTTTTCCTAATTTTGCATTTACACCTTTCAATCTTTCACAAGATTTTTCACTATCCAACACACACCGTTACTGGATTTCTCTTTTCCTCTCCTCTAATCCAATAATCATTCAGCCCCACCTCCAAAGATCACAACTTTCCTGTTTACACAATTACCATGACATAAAAGCTTCAAACTTTTGAATTGTCAAACAAGAAGAATTCATTCTTTCAATTCATGGAGGTTGGTAATTCCAAAGAGGGTGATACTGGCAGTCCTCCAAGGCAAAGGTTCTACATTGAACTCAAGCCTGGAGAGACAACTATAGTGTCATGGAAGAAGCTTTTGAAAGATGCAGCAGCAAACAAGGCAAACCCATCTCAGTCTCAGAATCAGACTGCTGCTGCTGCTACTGCTGCTGCTGATGTTGCTGTGGAGCCTGCTTCTGTGGATACTGCTCAACAAGAGGCTCAGTTTGCTCTGGTGAGATATAGTTGAGAACCCATTTATGTAAATTGCTTGTTTTGTTGTAATTCTATCCCGGTTTATGCTAAAGCTTATGTTTTTATCTCTTTTATTAAGTTTTAGCTGTAATATTTGGTGTTGTATTTGAGATAATCAAATGCAAGTTCTGTATGAGATGATTTCAACTTGTTTTTGCTTGTTACTGCATTAATCTTAGTTTTGGGAACAAGAATTGTTTTATCTGTCATAAAATGTTTGATATTTGGAACATAATCTACTGATTATGTTGTTTAGTGATTATTTGCGAATGTTTATCTCAATTTTTGCTGATTTGCTAGTATCTGTTTGGATTTAATAGCCTTTGCTTGCTTTTAAATTATATTTAGGTTTCTGTTTCCTATGCGGTTTAGATTCTTTGGAGATCCATTATGGTTTGTTCTTAATAAATTTATGACTAACTAAATTTTGGGACCTGGTTTTTTCTTTTTTCAGCGTTTTGATTTTATGTATTTATTAAGTACTGTGTCAGTTGTCTCCATTTGTTGATGTCCATCCATGGTAACTATGGTTGGAGATGTAAACTTCCATTTCTAATGGTGGAATCATTTTTTGAATTCCTTATCCATTGTCCACCTTTGTCACGAATCATGTAAATCCCGATATGTGCTTGCCTTTCTGGCATCTAAGCACTTTTTCATATTTAAACTCAATCATTAGCTGTAACCTTCCTTTCCAATGTCCTTCTATTCATAATTGTTTATCAGTGTAGAAGGAGGATAACTTCCCATTTTCAGGATTGTGGTGCGGCTTATTTCCAACAGTATTATGAGAGGAAAGCTTAATTTCAAGACCTTGTAGGATGTCATTTTATGTACTAACAGAGCTATTTAATGCTTCAGGCCTTATCTTCATTATTTTTCTATGAAGTACTAAGTTAAATGTTTTATTCTTATTCTGTTTTCATCCCTCAATGGCTATTGGCAATCATCTGGATATATATATATATATTTTTTGTTACTTTGAGATGATTTCACTTTGACTCTGTTTGGGCGTAACCAAAATAAAATGAAGGGCTTGGTCAAACAACTGTCATTTTGACAAATTACATTATAGCAAACCCATATTTTCTAGAATTTCTAGACTTTGTTTTTTTGTTTTTGTTTTTTTTTTTCCCATGAAACATCCTTTTCCAGTTCCTTTTCTCTCTGTTTGTTTTCAACACAACATGATAATCTAGTATAAGGGAAGTGACAACCTTATGACTTCTCCATGAACACATGCTTTTTAGGCAGTGAATAATTTTATGCTTTGTAAACTTGACTATGAAATCCATCCAAACGACAAAGAGGTAAAAGAACTTAAAACAAGAGAGCTCTCAAGTCCTTTGGATATCTGCTAAAGATACCCCTCTAAAAATTCAATTCTATAGCATCAGAAGAAGACATGAAAATGTTCTCATCTCAACTAAGATTAAAAGGCAATTTCTTGTCCTGAAAGATTTTTAAGATTACACTGACACTAATTCTACCAAATCGTTTTATCTCAAGTTAGATGAAAAGGTAACTGCTTGTCCTGAAAAATTTTCAGATTAGTTGGACCAACTGTTGCACATTGTTGCCCACAATGCTTAGTTTCCATAAAACCTTGCCATTCTGTCCTCTTCCAAGGTCCTCAAACCACATCAAACTGCAACTCAAAAATTACTCCTGCATCTCTCTCTTCAGTATTTTGCTTTCAGGTCTACTCCCATAAGTTTTTGAATCATCTAAATCTTGGTTGCCTCACATAGTAATTAGTAAATAATATTTCTTATTGATTATGATATTTTCCCACATCAATCCTTGAATTACAAACAAATATATAATCAACCTCTTTGTTTCCTAACCGTCTCAAAGAGCTTATCTTTTATTGTTGGTGCATGGAATTCTGAAATAGAAATTAAACTAGCCATATTAATGTGGTCTTAAGTTGTAATGCTTCTCACGTGCCTTTACTAGAATAGGTCATTTTCAGCATGAACTTGTCATTTGATTTTAAAAAAATGCATATAATTTCATATGGAGTTCACAAATCTTGAAAAATTTGTTTCCTCCATAGCCTCGCAAGCTCATCTTTAGGATTAAATTATCTACTTCAGCATTAGTATGAAGAATCCGGACACGAGACATGAAGGAGTTTATGCTAGGTGTCAACCTACTGTAACCCTCCTCATTTTGTCGGGCTTGGGATCAACTAAGCCAAGCCAAGATAAAACGAGAGAAGGGCGACTAAGATGGTCCGTCCATCCAGCATATGTCTCCAAGAGGCCTCAGTTCATAGAAGTGATAAGTCGACACTGAAAGGAAGGAGGATGGAAGAGGAAGATTTAAACAATGTGGAGCGATGTGGTATTGAAGGATCAAAATCTCTCGATATTGAGGTGAATTTGGTTTATGATCGAGCTGAATGGCACAAAAGGATCTGACCCAAAGTTGTTTGAGATTTAGGCTTAGTTGTTGTTGTGGCATTAGGACGATGAAATCCAGATCTTTTCGCTCTAATTGAAGATTAGATTTAAAATTCCAAAGTACAAAGTTTATGAGATAGGGGCCTATATATTAATTTTTCTTAATGTTTTACCTAGATAGGATTCAAATATGATTACAACACTACATAAAAAAAGAAATATGTGATTAATGAAGAAGGAAATGGGATTTGTGTTAAAAAAGAATACAAGGTGTTCAATGCATGCATACATGAAGAAATAGCCACATGTGCTTATGCTTAAACTTTTGATGTTAACCTTATAAATTTCTTTGCATAAAATCATTCATTAATAGCTAAGCAATTATGCAAGTAACAATAACCTCTGAATTTATGTAGTCACAAGTATGAATAACAAATCCACAACAAAACTGTATATAAAAAAAAAATGCAATGTGTCTATTGTAGGCATTAGCAACGTGCCGTGCTAGCACACTCGTCAATGTTAGCATATTGCTTGCATTTTACTGATGTGTTGACCGCTTCGGCAATATTGCTGACGTGGACAATGATCAGTGTGTTGACATCCACAAGTCACTATGCTCATCAGTAGACTCATTATCATAATGGTATCGTCAGGTCAAATATATTGTTTCATTTCTTAATTTTTGCTCTTTTAATGTAGCTGATCTGGAATCACCATATACCTTTCCATGTTAGTGCGACACTTGAATGGACGTGAATGTTGTGTTCATAAGTGCTAGGCACATTAAGCTTTTAGTTTTAAGTAATCTTTATTTAATCCATACCAACCTTAATTGCAAGTTGAAGTTGAGTTTGTTCCGGTGAATGGAAGTTGATATAAGAGCCCTCAAGGTTTTTTTTTTTTTTTTTGACAAGAAGTATGTAGTTCGACTTATTGTCCTTGATGATTTTTTATATTTCTTTTGCATGCGTGCACACACACACACACACACACAGATATATATATATATATATATATATTTGGGGTTTCCTTTGAATTCGTAATGCATTTTTGTGATTGGAATGAGGTTGAGTTTGTTTTGTTTCTTTTTTGGTTTATTATGAGCCTTTTTTTTTCCCAATGAAAGTATTGCACTTTAAATTGCATGTTATCAAGGCAAATATTTTTTTGTTCGTTAAATGTACTATTATTGATTATTCTGTTTCTAACTTTCAGTTATTAGATGGATATAGAGTCTGATGCCTTTTGTTAAGTATATTACTGTAAGAAGACGTATCCTTCATATCTATTGCATTTCTAAATATGTGAGGTAAGAAACTTAAAAAATAGGTGATTTATTTCTGTCAAAAAGTAAAAGGTTATATAAGATTGAAATACTTACTAAATCATATTAGATTACCTAAATTACTTGATGCAGCTTGGTAAACTAAGTTTTGAAATCTGCAAGCAGCGAGTCTCCCCAAACTGGCTTGTTCGATGGATTAATTGTCACTAATGATGTGATTTTTGTTACACCACTTTTACAACACCCACAAGCTATCAAGAAAATACATGGATATGAAACTATATGGCACTGTTATACAGACACGGTCTGTTGCATATTGCCATATTCAGAAGAATCCATCATGCATAAAGTATCGTAGTAAACAATATCATTTAGGAAATCTGGTTACAGATAGGAAACCATTGGAGATTTCTCATGGTTAACGTTTTCATTTAATGTGGACTTTTATGGCATGCAGAATTCTATGATAGGAAAGAGTGTGATATCTCACTTAGAGCGAGATGCTGTATGTGTAGATGAGTAAAAGAAGTTTTGGCAGCATGAGGATATTCTAGGATATTATGCTATGATGCTATGCAGAACAGCAGCATGTGTGCATGCTCTTGCATGTGCACGAGGCTGACATAATTATTTGTTCTGTTGTAAAGAGTCAATAGCTATGGACAGTGAAACACTTGGGAAACAAGTTCGTTACACAAATCTGCACACAGGTCTCGTAATTCTACAAATATTTTAACATTATCTTCAAAATGTCTAAAATGCCAACATCAAAAGAAGTGACTGAAAAAAAAAAAAACTTCATCTTCAGTGTTATAGATTTTTGAACCCCCCTCTAAAAAAAAAATGATTAACAGACCTTAGGTTTTCTCTGTAGTTATAGATTTAACATTATCTTCTTTGTGTATCCTTTTGCCTCTGTCCCTTTTTCAAAATAACTTCATCTTGTAGAAGCATAATTATGAAATACTTAAAGAGTGGAGCAATATGTGCATTTGGCTGTGCACTCCCAACCGTGCTCCAAGTATACTTCTGTGTAGAAGACTGCTTAATGTAGGAAAATAGCAATGCTTTTTTTTTTTCATTAGTTGGTAAGTAGACAGCATATACATACGGACTTTTGTGAATTTTCTCCAAGAGTTTACTTCATTGCATGTTTGGTTGTATTGATGCACCATCCTTTGTTACGTCATCTCCCGAATTGCACCTTTCTTGCTTTCTTTCCAATCTACCTCTGCTAAAATGTATTGAATCACCATTCACGATACCTTTTGTTATGCTTAGACATTGCAGGACCAGCCCACTGAACCTATACCAAAAAATGCACTTTCTTCAAATCGTCTTGGTTCTGTTATTGAGAAAATAGAGCGAATATATGTGGTATGTAAAGTTCTTTGTACTTTGTCTGTTTTCTTTGGTGATAATGGAACAAAGATTGATGATGAGGTTATGATATTCATTGCTTTTATTTGGTAGAAACATTAATTAGACACTCTTCATTTTAATTCCCGGAGTTTTGTAATTTATGTGCACCAGAAAGGTTACATTCCACAGATAGCATTCTAATTATTAACAAGCCAACAAAGATGTCTTGAAGCTATTTTTTCATTTATACAGCTTTAGGATCAGATATACCTACTTTCATCGTCTTCTCCTTTTAGTTTGATGGGCAAAGCATTCCAAGCCTGTCTTATCACCTGTATTAGAAGCGAATAGAATTTTCTCTTTTAGTTTTGAAATTGTTTTCTCTTATTAATTAATAGAACCAAGACATTATTAGAGTTATTTTTCTTTCATTCTAGATCTTTAGATTAATTACTGTTCAGACCAGCTGAACAGTTTTGCCTTTGTATGTAGACAGTTTCATTACTATATGGCTAATTAATCCTGATCCTTTTTGGCCACTTGGTTTAGTATTATAACTCCAAACTACTCAACCAAGATTCAAACTTTGGTAGCAGTACACCGTTATCGCACTATATGACTAATTATTAAAACAGCAAGAATAATCTGGCCGTATGTATCGAATCCATCATTTTCCTTATTATTTTCAAGGTCCAAGCGCTATAGCTTTAGACAGGTGAATCACGAGTGCAACCTGGACTTTTTAAATCACCATTTGGATAAATGCAGTTTCTATTTTTTTCTCTGTAAATTGTTCTTGGTTACAGGAAAAAAAAAAAAAAAATAGAATACTGCATTGCTAACTTAGCTTGCCATAGCCAGTCCCAAGCATAGATAATGGAGGGGGGTCGTGGTACGTTAACAGCCAGCGTAAAAGAATTTGTCACATCTTATGTATAAATCATACTTGCTACTGTCAATGCCTGAAAATCTGATTTGAGGTGTGATGTCATGTTTTGACAATTTACTTTTTTCAGGGAAATCAGAGTAGTGATGAGGAAGAACTTGATGGTGTTCCTGATGAAGATCAGTATGACACTGAGGATTCTTTCATAGATGATACTGAACTGGTTGGTAACATTGCTATAATGAAAATGACAGTGGTGCTGGTAACTACAATATGAGTCTAATAATAATAGTGAGTGAAATATCGCCATCACTGCCATTATCAGTAATTTGGTGTTATTTTGTTAACTTGGTGACAGAGATGACTGTCGAAGAGTTCAGTAAAAAATATTGTTACTATCGTTTCTTTTACTGATATGGTGTATTGAGATGTAGTGACTTTAGCGGGGTCTTTTGCTTTAAATGTTGTGTACCTACTTCTACCTTATTGGATATGTTCAGCTCAAGACAAAGAAAGCTCTTTTGTACAGTTAAAACTTGCCACAATAATTCAGATAAGGGAAAAACTACTTTGGTCCTGCTATGTGTTAGTTTGTAATAATGAGTAATATAGAAATTTTATTCTTATTTATGAAATTTTTTTGTTTTGGTTGTTAGCATTTATTGGAATTAGGGTTTTTGTTATGGTTGTTTTTCTTATCGAAGCTTATTTATCCCTGTATAAAGCACCTTACCAGATGTTTCAAGGGGCAGCTATTTTGATGATTGACATGGTATTGAAATTTGTAATATTTTAGATGTTGCCTTTTCCTATGGGATGCTAGGTCTTGTTTGTTCAAAGTGGATTTCTAACATTTCTCTTTATATTCCAGAGTTGTTGCATTGTAATTTTTTCCTGCACCACTAGTCCATGATTATTGATTTTATTTCACTCGTGCCATATTATTTCAGTTGCTTTTCCCCTGAAAACACTTCTATTGTGGCAAAAGTTGTTTGTTAATTATTAATGTGACATAATATTCCTTTCCATTAACTTGTTATAACATTGGTCTGGCATTTCACAGGATGAATATTTTGAAGTTGATGGGTCAGCCACCAAACATGATGGATTCTTTGTGAATAAGGGAAAATTAGAACAGATGTGAGTTCTTGTAAACTCTTCTTGTTCACTTTGCTTTTTGGTAGTTCTGTCCTTTGCATTCCTTTTCTATCTCAGTGTAATTGAGATCCCAGGACGATTCACTACTAAAGATTTGATGATTAGTTTGAAAGATTTAAACAAGCATGGCCTATTCAAATGATTGGTTTTTGCAGCAGAATAATTCAGTTCTTTGCTTTGCTTTAAGCATGCTTTTAAAATGATTGATTATTTTGATATTCACTGGCTATGTGTAGTTCCTAGAACGTAGATATATAATGGATCACATTCTCTTAATGTCTATGCAATTTGATTGTGTAAAGACTACCTACTAAATCTGTTATAGCTGGCTGGATCTTTGTGAATATCTGAAATTGTGGAATGCATCATAGAAGAAGCTTTTATTATTGAGAAATTAAAGTCTCTTTTTAGTCCATGTTGATGGAATGTGGAGGATTTGTCTGCTCTATGAGCATGATATTTTTGGATTCTTTTGAATTAGAATTGAATCATCCATTATTATAAGATGCCAAAACATTGGTTTGGGTTTGGGATCCATCTTTACATAAACACCAATAAATGTTTTTTTTTTTTTTTGAGTGCTAATCTGTAACATACAAACATAATGCCAGAATACAACTTTGGTGTCTGCCTTCTGATATGTGCAGTAACTCAGGAATGACAAATATGCTTTGTCAACTAATCACTCTTGCCAATTAGCCTGTAGAAATTCCCTTCGGTTCGAGCCTCTCCCTTGTAACCAAAAAGAAAAAACTCATCTTCCGCATTCCCATAAAAAACTCAACTCTTCCTTTCAGCTATGATGAGAGATGGACGAGAAACACCTACCTAACTGGTGAACATGTGTAGACTTATTTTATTGCTTAGGATAGGGAGAAGAAGAAGAGCAGTGTCTTGGTTTAGGCATAAATTATGAGTTGGAATGTTATCCTTGTATGTTCTGGATTGTAGAATAATGGTAACATACCTTCTTCTATAATCAGAAGAAGTTGAACAAAGATGGCCACATAAAATTTGGGTTTCTAGGTATGAAGGTGGGACATTTGTCATTAATCATATTGCATTAGTACCCAAAGATAATGGGTTAATGAAATAAGATTGGAAGTATATTATACTTGTTAATGTAGGCATGGTTTTAAATAGTGGGATGTAATGGCCGTTATATAACAGTAATGGGGCATCCTGTTATCGTTATTCAGTGTTATTTGCACTCCAAAGTCGCTTCACAAGAATAACGGCAAATAACGACTTTACTTTTATATAATGTCGTTATATAACAGTGTTATACATAAAAAAAAAAAATCAAAACTCTACAAAAAAGAAAAAATCAAAACTCTGTCCTAATTAATCACCAACCCAAATGATATGAAAATAATACAAGAAAAAAAAATAAATGGGACTTACAGAAAAACCTAGTAGATAATCAAAGAGAGAGGTGAAAAAAAGAATGAGAATTGAGAGATAAAGGGATGAAGAAATAAGAATGTGAATGGAGGAGTAGAAGAGTAGAGAGAGAAAAAAAGGAAGATGTGAAGTGGAGGGACAATTAAGAGAGCAGAGAGAGAGATTAAAAAAGAAAGATGTGCAAAAGAGATAAAGAGAAGAGAGGAGGGAGAGGGGGTGGAAAAGAAGATCTGAAATGGAAATAAATGCAAATGCCGGAGGACTGTAGGCTTTAGTTGAACCAATTATAAATTAGTCTCTTTAGTTTGGAAAAATAATTTAGTTAGTCCTTGTTTCAAATAACAATTATTTAGTCCATTTTATGTTATTTTCTAATTTTTTTTGTTTGTTTAAAAAATAGAAAAAAATAAATTTATATCATAAAAAGATTGATGGAAAAAAAACATTTTATGAAAGAAAATAATATTACATTAAACATGATCAATATTCATTAAAATATTAAATTACTTAGTTTTAAAAAAACTAATTAATTCATTTATCCAAACTAAAAGAACTAATTTATAATTTACTCAATTAAAGTCCGCATTGGTATGGGTCTTTGATTTCGTGCATGCAAGTGAAATTTGGTTTAATAATGAGTAAATTACACATTAGTTCCTTTATTTTTGATAAATGAATTAGTCGGTCCTTTTTGTTTCAAAAACTAATTATTTAGTTTTTTGTTCATTTTATGTTATTTTTAAATTTGTTTTAAAAATAAATAATAAATAAATTTATATCATGAAAAAATTGATGAAAAAAAAACATTTTGTGGAGTAAAATATTATTACATTAAATATGGTCACCACTAATCAAAAGATTAAATAATTAGTTTATTATTTTTTGTGTAATATAATCTATTACAACTGTTATTAACTTTTTTTTTTTTATAATAAATTTAACTATTTTTTATAATATTAAACGATTAGAGATGTCATTACTTATTAGTATGTTTAATTAGTAAAATTGTTAAAAATATGTAAATTAGAATAAATTTATTAACGAGTTGCTAATATATTCACGACATCGATTGCCGCGACTGTTATTTTACAAATATGATAAACCGCAATCGTGACCGTTTTTTCAACCGCAACCGTTCTTTAAAACTATGAATGCAAGTAACATTAAATTCTAAAAACAAAAAATGTAACATATCAGGCTTAAATTATGGATTGATATTGGTGATTAGTATTAATGGATCTTTTTCTGTATTTAAAGCATGTTAAATAAGAGATTACGATGAGAGAAGGTGGGACCATACACTTGCATGAATACATCTATAGTTCACTTACTGATTTTTATAGTTACCTGCCATTCTGTTCTTCCTCTTGTCTTAGGCCAAATGGCATGTCATGGTACTTCAAGTAGTTTCTTCATTTGAACATTGATCTGATTTTGTTTTCGCTGCAGTGCCAGGAATAAACAGATTTCATCCACTCACTGCCAGCCGAAGAAAAGAAGGGATAATATGCAAAAAGCTAGAGAAGAGAATGATGATGATCACGTAAGAAATAAATTAGCAAAATTAGGGCATGCAAGGATGAATGCGGGTACGAGGAATAAACCACTGGTTGAACCATTTCCAACCAACTCTCAGAGTTTAGCTGCTAATGGTGAATATCATCATGATGGGAAACTGCATTCATCGACTTATCCTGTAGGATCTTCTGACAAAAAACCTGACGCTCCTGATATAAGATCTGAAAATTCTTCATATTCAGGAATAACAAACAGGGATGAGTCCATCTCCCAAACAGGACTGAATGACTCTGAAAAACAGATGAATGGAGTCCTCCAGCCTGGAAATTTAGGTAGAGGTGTGAAAGATACAAGTGAATTATCTGTAGTTGCATATCAAACGTATGAAGAAAACAATGCTCCTGCCCAACTTGGGCTTCAATCCAAAAGATTAGCTAGTGAAACCAGTAACGCATCCTCTCCCAAATTTTCTCATAAGAACAAGAAAGGAATGCATGAACTGCCTGACCTGAATCTTCCTCATCATTCAGTGCAAGCTGAAAAGGTAATAAGTACTGATATGCATCAGAAATCTCAGCAAAAAGGTATCTATCAAACTTCTTGTTTTGCTTTCCCTTACTTGCAGCTGCTGGGTGATTTCTTTTGAAAAAGTTAGTGTGATTTGGCTGCTGAGTGCTGAGTACTGGTCACTAGCAGGAAAGTTCTTTGGCATTTAATCATAGGAGAAACAACTACATTATTAGTTAGTTTGTTGCTTTTTTAATCTACTGTAATTTGCTTAAAAAAACCATTTGAAGTTTCAATTTTTGCTGTGAATACTGTACTTGTAGTGATGTTTTATTTTCAGAAAACATCGATTTATATGATTAACGTCCGTCAATTATCTTCTGTTTGTTGTATTGGAGATTACCAATACGACTAAAGCTGGTGAAATAGTAAAATCATTGTTCTTTCTTCTCAGCATATGTACTTGTCCCTTTCCCTTTCACTACCCAGCTTGGAGGGTGGGGGGAGGTATCTTTAATTGGACCATGCACAATAAGATGGCTTTGTTTTGGTTTGCAGACAGTCCATTTTATAAGGGGCATGAAACTGAGTGTGCTTGAGTTCTCATTTGCATGTAAATTATGGATCTCTTTTCTCCCTTATCCCTAGTGTGCACGTGCCACTCAGACACATTTTCTTCTGTTATAAATTCTTAAGATGTGCTTGAAGTTTCAATTTTTGCTGTGAATACTGTACTTGTAGTGATGTTTTATTTTCAGAAAACATCGATTTATATGATTAATGTCCCTCAATTATCTTCTGTTTGTTGTATTGGAGATTACCAATACAACTAAAGCTGGTGAAATAGTAAAATCATTGTTCTTTCTTCTCAGCATATGTACTTGTACCTTTCCCTTTCACTACCCAGCTTGGAGGGTGGGGGGAGGTATCTTTAATTGGACCATGCACAATAAGATGGCCTTGTTTTGGTTTGCAGACAGTCCATTTTATAAGGGGCATGAAACTGAGTGTGCTTGAGTTCTCATTTGCATGTAAATTATGGATCTCTTTTCTCCCTTATCCCTAGTGTGCACGTGCCACTCAGACACATTTTCTTCTGTTATAAATTCTTAAGACGTGCTTGAAGTTTCAATTTTTGCTGTGAATATTGTACTTGTAGTGATGTTTTATTTTCAGAAAACATCGATTTATATGATTAATGTCTGTCAATTAACTTCTGTTTGTTGTATTGGTAATCGAGATTACCAATACGACTAAAGCTGGTGAAATAGTAAAATCATTGTTCTTTCTTCTCAGCATATGTACTTGTCCCTTTCCCTTTCACTACCCAGCTTGGAGGGTGGGGGGAGGTATCTTTAATTGGACCATGCACAATAAGATGGCTTTGTTTTGGTTTGCAGACAGTCCATTTTATAAGGGGCATGAAACTGAGTGTGCTTGAGTTCTCATTTGCATGTAAATTATGGATCTCTTTTCTCCCTTATCCCTAGTATGCACGTGCCACTCAGACACATTTTCTTCTGTTATAAATTCTTAAGATGTGTTTTCAGTTCTTATGGCATATAATTTGTTGTGTTTTGAATTTCATTGAAATTAAATTCATTTTTGTTTTGTTTTGGCAGAAAACTGCCACCATACACCCAACTGATGTTTCTAGCTTGCAGCTTAAGGGTAGTATGGTTGAAAGGGCCATCAGGGATTTGGAGAAAGTGGTTACAGAATGTGAGTATGCCGATTTTGCAAGCAAATTTGGATTGTTAAACAATGAGAAATTTCAAGAAGTCTTGAATGATTGATTATTATTTCCTGTCCAAAAATATAAAAAATGCTTTATTTCCAGCTAGGCCGCGGAATATTGAAGTTCAGGATGCTGATACTTCATCCACAGCTATCAAAAGAAGACTGCCTTCTGAAGTGAAGCAGAAGCTTGCTAAAGTTGCCAGACTAGCAGTAATGGAAATCATTTTCCTGTTTTTCTATATTTGAAGCTTTACTCATGCGTGCACACACACACACATACACAGAGACAGAACATATGCATAAGGTCTTCAACTTAATTATTTCTCTGGTAACTGCAGCAGTCAAGCCAAGGAAAAATATCTGAGGAATTAATCAATCGCCTTATGAGTATTCTTGGGCATTTAATTCAGCTTAGGACACTGAAGGTATTCAGCTTCGTCACAATTGGATTAATAGTTAATGGGAAACAGACTGGAGGTTTTCATGATCAATGTAACTCATTGTCAATACCTGTGTTGATTATCTTGGATCAGCCTAAGATGGAATAATGATTTTTCAATCCTGGAAAATTGTACATTGTAATTGGCAGACTTTCTGATGCTCTTTTAATCTAGTTTCATGTACAGAAACTGACTTCCCCTTCCTCCCAATTGTTTTGGTACAGAAAAATCTGAGAGAGATGGTTGAAATGGGACTAACAGCAAAGCAAGAGAAAGCTCACAGATTCCAACTTATTAAGAAGGAGGTCATGGAAATGATAGAACTGCAGGTTTCTAACATGCTCAAGTATTCATTTCTAATTGAAATGAAGCTCATTTTCTCGAAAAAAAATATGATTGAGATTTCAATGGATGTGTGTATGTTAGAAACGCACCAAGAAGACTGTATTTGGTACTTCCTCTCTGTAATAGTTGATGGACTTCTTGCTTTATTCCTCTCGACATAGTCTGGAAAAGTAAACTGAAAACAGTGGCATCTTGTACAGTAATCAGTAGTGTAATGGAATGTAGTTTCGTAAAGTGGAAAGAGGAAATGATCCCCATTTTTTTTCTTTATTGGATTATTTTGCATTCCACTAGGTATATCTACAAGCACATAATATGAGACTCATGCTGTTGCTCATTATATATTTTCACTGTTCCCCCTTTTTGCATGAATGACTTGTGTAGAAAGCAACTGTTTAGTAGTTCAAACTTTTTTTCTAGTGATGTTTCCATGAAACTCATTACTGCATGCTTATTGTTTCTACTTATGATAAAGCAGTCATCTAAACAAAGAGACGAAGCAGTTGGTGACTTTCAGAAAGCAATTATTCATGAAGAAAAAGGAGCTATTGATGGGAAGTATGTTATGGACAATAAGATGGAAGATAAGATATGTGATCTTTATGACCTATTTTTTCAGGTATATAACTACGCCGCCATGTTTTTACATGGTTTCTTGTGGAAAAATTTGATAGTTCATTGTACTATGTTCTTGATATTACCCCTTCATGCTTTCTAGGGGATGGATGAAGACAAAGGTCCACAAATCAGGAAGTTATATGTTGAGGTACTCTGTCATTCCTTTTGTTTTCGATCTTGCCCTGAAAGTTTGTCTTATTATTGCTTTTTATCTGGTTTGCATTAAGCATGCCTGAGGGTTTATAATTTTGTAGTATTCAGCCTTTTCAATTACCAAATACAAATCTCATCTTTACAAAGAGGTCATTTTGATAGAGATGGATTGACTGAAATTTGGAAATGGTAAAACCTAAAGGGAATGCAATAAATTAAGAAGCAAAATTTATTTAGTGCTAATGATCAGTCTGTAGATCTTTGAATTAGTTTATCACATTCAGCTTGCGGAGCTGTGGCCAAATGGAGCTATGGACAACCAAGGGATAAAAAATGCTATTTATAGGGCAAAGGAGCGTAGAAGAAAATTCTACAATAATGAGAAGGCAAGAACATGCTTCTTCTTTCTATTCTTACAACACTCAATGATTGTGATTTATGTTGAAGGCTGTTCATATTTGAATATTAACTTTCTAAAAAATATGTTCTCAAAATTTCACAATCCTTGTCTTAATTTTCTTTTAACACCATTGTTTTATCATATCTTCTTTTCTCAGAGAAATGAAAGAAGAATTAGTGAGGAAATGCATTAATTTGTTGCATAGTTCGAAAACCATATAAAAAAACTAAGAAATATGATCTGAATGTGAGAACTCTGTGATTTGAAAATTGTAGGGTTTCTGCTTTTCCTTGCAGTACAACTGCCTGTGAACCAAATTTTCCTGATCAAATTGACATCACCTATAGGTTTCACTAGGCAGAAGCCATATCTTTTCCTTCACTAATGGTGACACGAGTTTCATATTACTGAATTGTGGTAAAAGCTTCTTAGTTTCTGAAGTCAAGTTTCCCCAAAGAATTATTTGAGCTTCGCTAAAACATCCACATGAATTTAAAGAAAGCAGCATATTACACATCTTTTTTTCGACATTTGATGTTCATGGTGTTCAGGAGGAGTTTTGTCTTTTTAGATGTTAATTACATAATTTTGGAAGGTTGTGGTTACTCTCTCAATAAATAAATAAATAACCCAAACATATTGTCTTTTATCTCTGTTTATCAATTTCAGAACCTTAATTTAGTAATTTCAGCTTTTCTTGAGGTGTGAGCAAGAGTTGATTTAGAGTGGTATTTCAGTGCATGAGGATTTTTTATATTTAAATTGGAGAATGTTTCTGTTTTTAGGTCTCTTTGGATAATGATTATAATACTTCTCCATCTTGGCTATCAATTTTTATCTTAGAGTTGGAAAGAAGTTCTTAGATGCAGTGTATTTTTATCATCAGGTTCGAATTATGGAGTTAAAATGGCTTCTGTTATAAATCTATAATATATTTGTCTGGAACCTTTTTTTTTTCCCTGGAGGCATCGAACTTTTTAGTATCTTTATATAAATACATACATACATACATACATACATATATCTATACATATATACATATATGTATGTGTATATATATATATATATGTATGTATGTATTAGTGTCTTGGAAATTCAACGGGTCATTTGGACTCTTGTTAGCCACTATATGATGTAAACCTCGGTTCCGATTTAATAATCTCAGGGATTGGATGCTCATATTCCCATTCCCTTGTGCAGTCTTTTATCATGTAGAACTTTGAGCAGATCTATAGAAATTATGTCACAATAATCTCATCGTAATGATTATCAGCACCATCACTGAAGTCACAGGTCATTTGGAGTCTTGCTAGCCCTTATATAATGCAAAGCTCATTTCCGATTCAATAATCTCAGCGATGGGATGCAATCCATGCTAAATTAACTTATTAGTGAATTCTATACTGGAGTGTAATTGACAGTTATATAGATAAATGAGGTGAAGTTACTGTAATGTGTTTTACATGTCTGGATATCACTGCATAGCACAATGGTTGAAGTTTTCAGTATGAGAGTAGCTGATTTTTATGCCGGGGGCATTTATTAGTTCATTACACTATCACAAACCTTTTAAAACAGGTTCTTTGGAAGGAGCATGTGAATTAATTTCTCACTTTATCTTTTCTTTCATTGTTTAGATGGATGAAGCAGGTGCTTACAAGACTCTAACCTATCTTCTTGTATTTGCAAGCCATGAATTTTTACCAGTCAATTAAACGACGACTCTCTCTCTCTCTCTCTCTCTCTCATACACGCACACACACAGAGACAGAATCCAATTTTTATATTTGTTGATTGATTTGACTGGAGTGTGCTGTGTTCAGGTCCAAGAAAAAGCGACGATGGAAGAGTTGCCCTGGCAGTGGAAGGAAATTAATGTTGGTGGGAAAGCAGCTTCAGTTGCTCGAGCAAAACGTTCGGAAGGACTCATTGCCTCAGCAGCCATCGCTCAGTACCTCTCTGGACCTGCAAGACCTCTCCCTCCGTTCCTAGAAGTCCTTAATGATGATTCTTCTAAACAAGAGAAGCTTGAGCAAATTTCATTTCCTATGTTGAAAGAACAAATAAAGCACCAAAGGCGAGAGTTTGATCGTGAATTAAAAAAATCTTCTCCACAAGCGGATAAGGAATCTCATAAGTCTCAAAAGCAGGATGATGAACAGCAAGCTGGTCTGAAACACCATTTGACCACCTCTTCTTCAAGCTGTGGACAACAGAACTGACCAATTGATCCAGTTGGAGGTTCACATCTTGACTGTTGCATTGAAGAAGTTTATCAGTGATGTTTCTAATAAGTTGTGCTTGTCCTCTTCCAGACTAGTCTTTGAACTACCCAGTTGGTATTTTGCATAGTAATAAGTAGGCCATCTGGTTATCTTGCTGTTTAGTTAAGTCATGCTTAGATAGAAATAGCAGAATCTAATACTAATGGCAGAGTAGGCAACTAATATGAATACCCAGTTGGTATTTTGAACATTTTGCAGGGAAGAGGGATGTTTATTTAAGCACCTTTAGGAAATAATAAAATTATCAGTCCATTAAACACTACATACATGTCTGATTAGGGAACTAACTATAACTCCTAACCATTTTATAGGAATTGGAATCTTTATTTCGACAGCCGTAGGAAATAATAATCATAGTTCATCATCAATAATATTTTTGATGATTTGTAACATATAATGCGTGGTTATTTATAGCCATAAGCAGAATGTGATTGTCACCTTAAGAGAAGTTTTTGCTTTTCTTTTTATGTGAGAGATGATTCGGTAGCTTGGAAGTGCAGAATGTGAAATTAAAATCTCCTTTTTTAAGTAAGGCGAGGCTACTTGCAGGTTTTGAATCCTATACTAAAGCTGTTCTGCACAGCACTACTTAGCATTGATATAAATAACGGCCTTTAAGCTACGTATCAATGGTTATATAACGGTTTTGAAATATTTTATTATTATTATAATAAATCGTGAATCATGATGATGGTGACTGTTTTTTTAACGGTCCTTGATTTAAAACTATGATACTTAGCTCTCAAAAGTTTGTGAAAATTTCTAAAAAAGAAATATATTTTTTATTATTCCGTACATTGAGGTAAGACTATACATATTTATAGGTAGAGATCTTTTCCTAATCTACTTCTTTAAAAAAAACATATAAATCCCTAAATTATAGTGGCGACTACTATTTAGGAAATTGACCTCAAATACGTAGGAGACTAATGATTTACTTTCTAAAATAGAATGATTTCCAAAATAGGCTAGCCATACAAGATCTTTCTACACTCCCCTCAAGCTTGAGTGTATATATTAATCATTCCCAACTTGCTTACTAAATCTTCAAAGCTTGGTTTATGCAAGCTTTTAGTTAGAATATCAGTTGTCCGAATTTTAGTAGGGATATAAACCATGCACACGCTTCCATTGTCAATCTTCTCTTTGATGAAGTGTCGATCAACTTCTGCGTGTTTTGTTTGATCGTGATGGATAGGATTTTGAGCTATACACACTGCTTGCCTTGTTGTCACAATACGACTTCATGGGAAAGTCGTTAGATATCTTGAGTTCACTAAGTAATCTCCCTAGCCATATTCCTTCACAAATACCTTGAGCTAAAGCCCGAAACTCAGCCTTCGCACTACTTCTATCAACTACAGGTTGCTTCTTACTCCTCCAAGTTACAAGATTACCCTAGACATATGTACAATAACCCGAAGTTGACCTTCTATCTAAGGGAGAACCCGCCTAATCTGTATGAGTATAAACTGCTATCATTTTATGTTCACCTTTCCTAAAGAATAAACTCCTACCGGGAGTATTCTTTAAATACCTCAAAATTCTACAAGTTGCATTAAGATGTGTGTCCTTAGGTGAATGCATAAACCGACTAATTACATTTAATGGAAAGGTAATGTCCGGTCTTGTGTGTGACAAGTAAATCAACTTTCCTACAAGCCTTTGATACTGTTCTCGATCAACCTCTCTACCTCCTTCAATATCTAACTTAGTATTTAGATCCATAGGTGTCTCGAGCTAGTCTACAACCCACACATACCGGTACCGGTATCTTGAAGCGGATCAAGTACATCCTTTTGTTGTGTAATTGTAATCCATGATTTGCTTATAGCAACTTCCATACCAAGGAAGTACCTTAAAGCCCCCAAGTCTTTCAATTCAAACACTTCGCTAGGTATTTTAAAGAAGTCAATTCTATATGACCATCTCCTGTTAGGATAATGTCATCTACACACACTATAAGAATGACTATTTTTCCATCTTCGCAGTTCTTGTAAAATAATGTGTGATCGGATTGTGCTTGAGTAAAACCTCTATTCTTGATAACTTAAGTAAATTTTTCAAACCACTCTCTAGGAGGTTATTTCAACCTATAAAGAGATTTTTTTTCAATCTACACACTAGGTTATCTTTTCCCTCAAATCCAGGAGGTGGATCCATATAGACTTCCCCATGTAAGTCATCATTTAGGAATGCATTCTTTACATACAATTGTTGTAGTGGCCAATCAAGATTAGAGGCTAAGGAGAGAAGAACTCTTACCGTATTTAGCTTAGCCACTAGAGCAAAGGTCTCTTGATAGTCAATTTCATATGTCCGAGTAAAGCCTTTAGCCACAAGCTTAGCTTTGTATCGACTGATACTACCATCAACATTGAACTTTATTGTAAAAACCCACTTATAACCCACTTGTTTTCTTCCCTTCGGGGAGTTTTGTAATCTCCCATATGCTAACTTTTGTTCAAAACACTTATTTCTTCCTAAACAACTCGCTCTCCACTTCGGGTCATCAAGTGCTTCTTGTATATTTTTTGGTACCTCCGTTCCGGACGGTAAAGTAGCAAAAGCATGAAATTCGGAGGACAACCATTCATAAGAGACAAACCTGGATATAAGATGCTGGGTACAAGACTCGGTTCCTTTTCTATGAGCAATTGGAATATCCAAGTCTAAAGTGTGGTTTTAAAGCTCAATATTATACCGAACAGGTTCACTAGTACCTTCGACAACATGACTCGGATTCGGTCGGATTGTTGACCATGTTGAGTTTTAGGGTTCTCCCTCTTTTGAGAATGTTTTCTACGTGAATAAACAAGAAATTATGGCTAGGAGTTATCTCTCCCTATTTCTAATGTTTCCCTGTGTGTATTGAGTGACACAATAGGCCGAGATTCAATATTAGGAATTGGGGTTGGAATGGAAGAGGGAGACAGGGAAAAGAATTCGTTTCGGGTATTTCCCATGACTTATCTTCTTCGAAACCCCTTTTGAAGATAAGTATTATGGAAAAAAGATTGAGACTCAAGAAAGGAGACATCCATGGATATAAAAACACGATGAAGTGATGGAGAATAACATCCGTACCCACGTTAAGTGGGAGAATATCCAATAAAGACACATTTGACGGATTTTGGGTCTAGTTTAGAACGATTTTGGATGTGTACAAAAGTTGTACAACCGAAAGTCTTAAATGGTATGGAGGAAATTGAACGAAAGGTTGGATTAGTTTTTAGCAAAGTTGACAATGAGGAGTCAAATTTAAGAACTCGAGAGGGCATTCTATTTATGAGGTAAGAGGTCGTTAGAACAACTTCCCCTAAAGATATTTTGGGACATGCATGGTAAACATTAAGGCTTTAGCAACTTTAAGAAGGTGATGATTTTTTTTTCGCCACACCATTCTGCCGAGGTGTGTCTAGACATGAACTTTGATGGATTATTCCATTAATTTCAAGGTAGTGTCCAAGAATTGCATTAAAATATTTCTTTCCATTATCAGTTCTTAATGTTTAGATAGAGGTATGAAATTGGGTTTTTATCATCGAATGAAAATTTTGAAATGTTTTTGCGAGTCTCGCATTTTTCTTTGAATAGATAAACCCAACAAACTCAAGTGTGGTCATCGATAAAGGTGATGAACCACCGTGTACCAAAGATATTTTTTACATTATAGGGTCCTCATATGTCACTATAAATTAAGAAAAATGTACGAGACTCTTGGCATGGTTGGATTGGGAAGGATGTACGAGTATGTTTAGCAAGACGATAAATTTTACAACCGAAAGAACTAGGATCTTTATTTATAAATAAACTTGGAAACAAATGTTTAAGATAATGAAAGTTTGGATATCTTAACCTACGGTGCCACAACATTATTGCATTACTATTGGTAGCGAAGTAGAGTCACTCTCAACCACGGTAGCTTGCTTAGTCATGTATTTATCATCCTCAAAATAGAAAAGTCCACCTTCTTCTTTAGCACTCGCCAATCATCCTCCCCGATTCCAAGTCCCGTAGTAGACAAGAGTTGCCAAAAAAGACAACGAATACAGCTTAAGCTCACCGGTAATCTTGCTAATAGAGATCAAGTTACAAGTAAGGTTTGGTACATAAAGGACGTAACTCAAAGAAATCTCCTTTGAGAGATGGATTAAGCCTTTTCTAATGACAGGAGAAAAGGTACCATCTGCTATTTTAACTCCGAAATTCCGGGGACAAGGAGTATAAGTTGAAAATAGAGACAAGTTACCCGTCATATGGTCGGATGCCCCGGAGTCAAGTATCCAAGTATTTGTATTTTTTGAATGAAGAGTTGTACCTTTATGGGCGTAACCACTAACAACTCGTATTACTCGGTGTTGATTGACCCAACAATTTTTGCAATTGTTCCAGTTGAGACTTGCTTAGGAATACACCATTTGACTCATTGCTAGAACTGATTTCCTTAGTTTTCTCCTCTATCGTTACTTAAAAACCCTTTTTGTTTGTTCCTCGAGGCTTCTAATTCACTGGTTTTCCATTGATATCCCAATAATTATCACGGGTATGACCAGCTCGTTGTGGTGGTTGCACCAAGGACATCCCCTCTCTCGATTATTCCGATTATTTTTTTGATCTCTATTAATTTGTTATAGAAATTACGTACATCGAGAGTCGTTGTATCGGTCGACCTTTCTCTAGTCAAGTTAGACATGGAGTCCCTTTTTCCACCAAGCATAACACGTCTCCTATCGGCTTCGTCTTACTTCGCAAATGCTTCATCAATAGAGGGCAATGGTTTATGCCCTAGTATTCTTCCTCACACCTCATCGAGCTCCTCTATAAGGCCGATCAAGAATTCATACAATCTTTCCTTCTCTAAATGCCTTTTGAACTTTATATTGCCTTCAAGATCTCCCCAATCAGCCTTCATAATGCATATCTAGCTCACGTCAAAATATTTGTAACTCATTATAATACTCGGTTACATCTATACTACCTTGTCGTATTTCCTTTAGTTGAGTTTTAATCTCAAAAACTTGAGATGCATTTTCGAGGTCGAGTAGTTCATAATGACAAGCATCCCAAATTGCTTTGGCGGTTCGGAGAAATAGGTAGGTGCGATCGATATAAGGTTCCATTGAGTTGATCGGCCATGCCATGACTAGTGAGTTATTGAGTTCCCAATTAGCATAGATCGGTTCCCCTATGTTGGGTTGTTGAGTCTCTCCAGGTGATGTATCCCAACTTTCCTCTCCCTCGGATAACCATGAGAACCGACTTGGACCATCGAAGAAAGTTCTTAACATCCAATCTATGATTGGTTATTTGTAGTGATGATCCTTCAAAGGACTCGCAAAACCACCGATGGTTGAGTGGATTCGGATGTGGTACTTGAGGACACGCTTGAAGTTTCCTTTCTTGAACTCATTGTTTGGTGGCTTCAAGGACAAGACACTAGGACAAATCTCTTAGTGGTTAGGCAAGAGACAGTTGGCTAGACAACAAATAGTCAAATAAGAGAACTAGGCTCTAATACCATGAAAGTTTCTAGGAGAGAAATATATTTTTTATTATTTTGTATATTAAGGTAAGACTATACATATTTATAGGCGGAGATCTTTTCCTAATTTGCTTATTTAGGAAAAAAACCTATAAATCCATAAATTATAGTGATAGTTACTATTTAGAAAATTGATCGCAAATACTTAGGAGGCTAATGATCTACTTTCTAAAATAAAATGATTTCCGAATAGGCTAACCATACAAATCTTTCTACAGTTTGTGCAAATTTGGATAATACTTGTTGGAATTATTCAACGGTTCTTACCCCAATTATTCAGAATGATATAAGTTAGTGCCATAAACTTCTAAGAAAAGTACATGGGCATAGAACAAAAATAATTGAGAAAAATTTCTTCTGTTTCTGAACATAATTGATTTTAGATTTTCCAAAAGATGTAAAGCAATTGAATCCTGAAACCCTTATATATACTGAATAGCAAACAAGTAATTATTTATTGGATGCTGAAACTTGAGGTTTAGTTCCTCAAATAGGAAAGAAAGTATTGTATGCTGTAACTGTGTGTGTGATAATTGGTTTTGAAATTCATCCATACCAATTACTAATAAAAGTGATTTGCAAAGTTTTGAGAAAATTGAAAATTAACTCTTTTATCTTTTTATTTATCATTTTTTTCTCTGTAATAACAGCATAACAAAACATTGGAACCAACTAGGTAGGATGGATATATGAGTTGAGTTGCTAGACTAAAAAATAGAATCAATCAGCAACTTCGTTGATTGATTGACACAATCTCCATTCGCCATCTACCACAGCTCCGGCGAGTCCATATCTCCACTGACCACCACTTCTTATTTTTGAATAATTTTCTCTGCTTCTTATCTTCTTTTTTGTCGACAATAAAAATTTGAAGCAAAAAATATGCAGAAAAAACCCAAATGTAGGTGTGCTAACCAATTTTGAAGTGTTTGATTTTCTAATATCAATAGGTGCTTCAAAGGACTTTTGGCGGGTTCTTGCTCCTGTAGCAACATCAGGATACAAGGTTGTTATTTCTCATTTATTTATTTTATTTGGTATGTCATTCATGGCGCAAAAGTATCCCTTTAGCTGACCGCAACTAGTTTGAAATTGAGCTTCTTTCTGTTTGTTTGATTTTGTTATGTTGTGTTTGCTTGTTGGTTTATGATTATTTGCTTGACACTCCTACATGCAATCAAACCAGAGAAAAAAATCAATGAATTTGTAGAGAGATGTAAGAAGTACGATCTTGCGAAAGTTGAGGTTCTTAACATTATCAACATTAGGCTTTCCCAGATTGTCGAAATTTATACTGTAAAATTTTTGAATAAATTAGCCATTATGTCTTATGAAATATGTGATTTTAGTGCTATTTTCTCAAGTTGCTTGAGAGTTACTTATAAAGCCATAAGGTTATATTTTGGAATGTAGATATTGTCCTGACTGAGGTTTGAATGCTCAAATTTGTAGATAGTAGAGTGTTGCGCCGGCCTTGGTGATTGCTTTGTTCTCTTAAAGTCAGAAAAATTTTGAAGTCTAGGAATTGGTGGTTGTGTTATTTCATCATGTCTAGATAACAGGTTTAAAGCAAGAACTGATTGACAAGGTGGGATAGTACTGGATTCAGCAGTTTGATTTACCGAGCAGAAGAGGTACTGATGTGTCATGATGCTTTTCTTATATTTAGTTGCAAATTCTGTTGATGAAATTGTGACGTATAGCAGAGCCGAAGATTATTGAGTTATGAATCGTATGGGACAGGAAAATGGAATAGAATAAGGTGTGGTAGATCAGTTTGAAGATTGTAGGACTCTTACTCAGATACATGATTACTTTCTACAAAATGAAATTTGAACTTGAAATTTTCTTGGATTTCAGCCTCTTTGCAAATTTTCCACCAACATTAAGGGATTCTTGGCTTTTGAACAGGTAAGCTCTTCCTTACCATAATGCTGATATGAATGCATTCTAATTGAGATTGGTCTGCTACCACGGTGCTTAGTTGTTGGAAGTGTCATCAAGGGAAACACCAATATGGGTATTTTGGCTACTGTGATATTGAGAAATCCTGTTGGTATAAACTAGTTGAAAATCAAAGGATCAGACTTACCTACCTCATTCCCCAATCGCACTCGTACCACACTTCGTAGTGTTGAAGTTAAGGAACTTAATATTCACTTTTTATCATCTTAGGGTAAATCACCAGGATGTTGGATAAAATGTGTCAAGAATTTGGCATCTGCTAATAGCTTTCAGCATTGTTAAGTTATCGATATCCTTCTTGGCATAACACAAGTATTGTTCCCTTGCTTATGAAATTTAAACATGTTTTTTTGAAAGTATATCTGTTCTAATCTGATTTTTGTGTCTGCATTTAATTGGTAGCTTCCAGCTGCAGGCTGGAAAGTATCATGGGCAATAGCTGGCTCAATGATTTCTTGAGTGTAGGGTCTTTGTGGATGTTGCAGCAAAGATGATAATGTTGTTAGAAATTATTATTCAACCTCATGAGGATCATAAGCCTTGGTGAAGGAATTACGCTATGCAGATACTGTCTAATTACCAAAGCTTATAATCTAGAAAAACAGTGCTGTTTGCTTTCCTGATGATGTTCAATCTCCTCCCCTTTCTTTTGCTTGCATCTGGGTGAAGGAATTGTAATGGTATTGACCAAAGTTAACTAGGAAGACATCTCTTGCTTGCTCTCCTGGTCAATATTGCTCCTCTCTTCTCTTATTTTGCCTTTTCTTTTTCTCCGTCTCAAGAACAGTGGTTTCCTTCGCTGATTCATTAAATATTTATCCCTCTTACATTTGACAGATCATAGAGGAATTGGAAGGCATGTTTTGAAATGCCAGCCATTGAAGAGCTAGTAGAACTGGTTGAGGAGGTGTTGCCACCTCCTCCAAGCCAACAGAAAGCCAAAGGAGGAATTGATGAGAATGAAGAAGAACGAGGAGATGGGGAAGAGAACGATGAGGAAAACGAAGCTGCAGATAAGGAAGAACCTGAAACAAGTTGAGGACAGATATGCTGGATTGTTCAAGTAGAAACTAATCGAAATCTGATACTGTTCATGATATTACAAAAGTAAAGTGATTTAGGATGCGTAACAAATGTAGTTAAATTAATGAAATTTAAGATGATTTTTCTTTTAATCTTCGGCTAGTGCACTGAATGGATTAGCTGCTACCATTTCGTATTGGTAGGTACAGTTGGAAGTCATACAGAGCTGGGCACCAGTGCGCATGATGGTCTTTTTTAGCAGGTTTTTAACTTATCAAACGTAGTAAAACATTTTGGTGTGGTTGTACTAAATCAATCTTTCTATAACTATTGCAAGCTCAAATTCTATGATTTTTTTTTATACTTTTCAATGAGAAATATTGTAGCTTATCCTCAGTTTTAAAGTTTTTAGGTGTTGTTTGATAATCGGGAATAAAGCGGTGGAAATGAGAATGAAAGTTTTCTTACTATGTTGTAGTTGTTTGGTTAAAAGGAATAAAGTAGGAATGAGAACAAAAAGTGAGAATGGGAATAAAAATTTACACACAACTTTATTCTCATATAAGATGTGGGAATAAAAACAAAGAATGAGAATGATTTTTTTTTTCAAAATAATAATTATTTTATTTATTTATTGTCTATTAACTATTTTTACTATCACCACTACCATCGCAACTAGGGGTGAGCAAATGGTTCGGTTAACCGAAAACCGAATCAAACCGAACCGAATTATGTATTTTGGTTCGGTTTTAAACTTAAATTTACAAAATTAAAAACCGAACCGAAAAACCGAAATTATTTCGGTTCGGTTCGGTTTTTGAAAAAAAATTCGGTTTTCACTCGAAAACCGAAAAAATTAAAAGCAAAAAAAAAAAAATTTTTTTTTTTTTTTTAACCCTAATTGGCTAACTTCACTAATCAAAATCAATTTTTAGCGGCGCCTCCCTAGCTCCCTATCCTTCACTCCATCTTCTCCGATTCTCCTTCATCATCACTTCATCGAGTCGGAGGAGGCATTCATTAATTCTAAGATTCTTAATTTGGTCAACTATCAATTGAAAAAATTAAATAAAGTTGATGACTAACCGCAATCAATTGTCTTTTACAAGTTTAGTTGTTTCTTTGCAAGACAATCAAATGAAATTAACTTACTATTGCAAGATGGTTTTAGGTCTCTGTGAGCTTGAATTTTACAAACCGAAAGAAAGTCTGTTTTAATTTTTTTCTACTGCACAAATTGCTAATGAAAATCTTTTAGACTACATTTTTTAGTGGGAATGATGATTGTAAAATTATTAGGGATGTTATACATATTGGTAACCTTTACCTTGCTTTATATATCTTGTTATGATAGTGATTGATGTTGGAAAATTATAATCTTCAACGGTGACTAATTCGGTCTAAAATTTTGTTTCCTGCGGTTCATTCCCAATGGCTTTTTAGCAAGATAAGCAAGGAGATCATAGAGGTCAAATTAAGAATTAGGATGTTGTCGGTGCTTGATGAGTTCGGAATAAGCAAAAGAAGGAAGACAACTACATTTTTTTTCTTTTCTCATTTAGGACATTCGGTGTGTCAACTCGTGATTAGGTAGTTGCAAAAGATATTTCCTATGTAAGAGCTTTGTTTTCTTATTGTGATTAGGTAACTCGCAAAAGATATTTCCTATGTAAGGGCTTTGTTTTCTTGTTGTCTTTTTTTTTTTTTTAATAATAAATGGTGAAAATGATGGTGGCTTAGGACGGATAATGAAACAATGGTCTAGAACTTTTTTTTCGAGTAAAACATTTCGGTTAAAACCGAAATATTTTGAAACCGAACCGAAATAATTTGGTTACAAACCGAATTTATCGAATTTATTTTGGTTCGGTTTTGGTTTTTATTTTCCTTGATTCGGTTAACCGAAAACCGAACCGAATCGTACAAAACCGAACCGTTTAACCGTTTGCTCACCCCTAATCGCAACCACTCGCAAACACCATCACTACAAACACCACCACCATTAACCATTATCGATGCCGCCACTACCACTAAAACCACTATTGTCATCACCACAACCATCGTCATCACCTTTATTATTTTTACAACAATTATAGTTTGATAAAAAAAATTTTAATCATTATTTTTATTTGTATAAAAAATCAAATATTAAAAAATTTAAATTGAATTTCGATTTCTCATTAGTATTCCAAACACGAGTATGAAAATACGAATGTCATTTCGATTCCTTAATTTTCATCCTCATCACATTATTCTTGATTACCAAAGAGCACCTTACATCTTGTTTATGTATTTGTGTTTTCACTATTTTATTTTTTTTAACGAAAACAACAGAGGCGAAACAATTGTTGTCGAACTGTTTTTGAGTTGGAAAAAAAAAAATTGTTGGTCTAATTGCGAATGTGTCAAAACCCGTGTCCCGAAAAGTTATCATTTTTTTTTTTCACTGAATTGTGGTAAAAGCTTCTTAATTTCTGAAGTCAAGGTTGCTAGAAGAATTATTTGAGCTTTGCTAAAACATCCATCAGCGTATTAGACATCTTTTATTTGGGCATTTTGATGTTCATGGTGTTCAGGAGGAGTTTTGGCTTTTTAGATCTTAGTTACATAATTTTGGAAGGTTGGTAGTTGCTCTTTCAATAAATAATCCAAGCATATTTTCTCTTATCTATGTTTATCAATTTGGGAACCTTGATTTAGTAATTTCAGCTCTTCTTAAGGAGGCGTGAGCAAGAATTGATTTAGAGTGGTATTTGAGTGCATGAGGATTTTTTTAAGAATGAGATTTAATGTTCTCAAACAAACTGATATTTTGTCATAGCCATTTTTGTTTTTCACTTTCATGATCCGAATATATTCTCTTTAATTCAATTATGATGTCACTGGTTAAATGGGCCTATCTTCAGTGAACATGGAAAAAATCTAAAAAAGAAAAGAAGAAGAAGAAAAAACTTAATCATGTCTTTCTAGTAGGAGTATTAACCGGTTGCCGTGCTCGCACTACGGATCCGGCGAGAAAAAATTATTTTAAAATTTTTAATTACAATTTTTTTTTTAATGTCTTTCATAAATATTTTGCTTAAAAAAAGCATAAATAAGAATAATTTATTTTAAAATAAAAAATTATAATAATTTTAACTAAAATATCAATCAAGAATTAAAAAAAAACTTTAAAAACATATATTTCATAATATTATATTCCAAAAAATATAGTTATAATTAATAGATAGACTTTTATAAAAATTAACAAATGAAAAAGAAAATTCTTATTTAATGCTGATAAGAAGATTAATTTTTGAAATTATCCGCGGAATGTTGCAGGCAAATAGATCAAAATCATTTCAAAAATTTATAATTTTTTCATTAATTTTTTATTTAATTATTACAATTTTTTTTTTGTGTGTTTTTCATAAAATCTCTGCTTAAAAAAAATGATTTATTCTTCTTTATTCAAGGATTTTTAAATAAAAACTTGTAATAATTTAAACATGAAATATTAATTAAGAATTCAAAAAAAAATACTTTAAAAATATTTTTTTTTATAAGAACGTGTCCAAAACATAAAATTAAAATTAATGTATAAACTTACATAAAAATTAACTAATGAAAAAATAAAATTTCATTATTATTTAATGTTGGTGAGAAGATGTTTTTTTAAAAAAAGTATATGCATTTGATCTTTATATATTTATTTACAAAATAATCAATAAAATTAGCATAAAACTATATTTGAAAATTTTCTTTGGTTCCTTTAAAAAATTATTTTATTTCAAATAAATTGGTTCTATAGTGTTAAAAAAAATTCATAGTAAATAATTTGTATTATGTTGGAAGATGTATAGTTAATTTTTAATGAAAACAATGATTCAATAGTTTTTTTTATTCGCCTTCACCATACCTTGTAAACAAAGATAAATTATTTGAAATACACTTTTAACCTTTTAGAATAAAATAATTATATATTTATATATATGCAACTATTGTTTAAAAATTTTAAGAATTCATGATATATATTATACCAATTTATTTATTTATTTTTAAATAATCATGTTTTAAAATTTTATTCTAAAATTCAAACATAGAGAAAAATGAACTATATTTATTAGTAAATAAAATTTTATATAAAAAATATCAATTGGATGAGAATTTTCATAAAAAAATGATAAATTCAAATAATGAAATTTAAATAATAAGAGAAATATAAGCTAAAGTGTGTGTGTGTGTGTGTGTGTGAAAATGAAAGAAAAATGAAAGTTGAGGATTGAAAAAAAAATGTTAAACATGAGGGATGAAAATAGGAAAAAGTGTTAAATTTGCATATTAATGCCTAAAAACACACAAAAAAACAACACATAAAAATTACTTAAATTACCATCAAGTAAATAGTAATGTTATGCATACGAAGAGTAAGTGAATAAGAATTTTAGGTATATGAATAGTTAGGATTCCCGCACTATGCCGCAAATCGAATTAAATATATTTATTTTAGTTTGATAACATATACTCTATGGTCAATTAATTAAATATATTAAATTAAATATAAAAGATAAATTTCATCTAATTTTATAGTTTTTAATCAATATATATATTTTGAATTAAAAAAAATATGATTTGTTCTTTCTTATGCATATATTCTTAAATAAAAACCTATACTAAACAAATTTTAATATAAATTAAAATTTTTTTTAACTTTTTTTCATAACATTGCATTAAAGAAATAAAGCAACAATTAATATAAAAACTTATATGAAATCAACAAATGAAGCTTTTGTATTAATGAGAAGATTATTTTTTCAAATATGTACATTTGATATACACACACAAAATAATGAATAATATTAGTATATAAAATTTTATTTGAATTATCAGTGTAGTTATTCTAAATATTATTTTGTTATTTTATTTTAAAAAATTAATTTTAAAATATTAAAAAATAATAGTAAATAGTTTGTATTGTGTGTGTAGATGCATAATTGATTTCTAATTAAATAAATAACTCTAATATATTTTTTTTATATACATCATGACCATATTGAATAAGTGAGAATGTATAGTATAAATTAAAAAATATTTTAAAAAATTAAATTGTAAAATATCTATTGAAGTTAATAGAGGGCAATAAAAACTATAAAATTGATTTTGATAAAATTTGATTATATAAAGAATAAGAAAATAAAATACATATAATCTATTTTTAAAATTTGATTATATAAGAATCAAGCAAATAAAAACATGTATAAAAAAAACTTATTCGAATCTACACATAGAGAAAATAAATCATATTGTTAATAAATAAAATTATATAAAAAATAAGAATTTTTCTTGATGAGAATTTTTATAATGAATCGAAAAGATCAATTTTAAACGATAAGGTAATATATATTTATTTTAAAATCTAAAAACATATCATATAGATTATATAAGTGTCAGTTTGTGTTAAAAAAGTAACAATTGATTTTTTAAAATTTTAACACTTAGTTAAATATATATAAAAAAGAACATAAATTGATGAAAAAATCAAAGGAAAAAAACCAAAGAAAAAAGAAACATGTGTAGGGCATTAGGTTGGGGATTAAATTTTTAAGAATCAAAATGAAACAACTTGAAAATTATATATAAAAAAAGAGCCTAACTACATTAAATGAATAATGAATTGTGAGAGGGTGAACAGTGAAAATCACTCTTCAAAACCCTCACTTCTTTTAATTTCTTAATAAAATAAAATTATATAAAAAATAAGAATAAAAATTAATTAGATGAAAATTTTTATAATAAATCAAAAATATCAATTTTAAACAATAAAAGTAGTATGTATTTATTCTAAAATCTAAAAACATATCATATATATTATATTATCATCAATTTACGTGAAAAAAGTAACGATTGATTTTTTTAAAATTTTAACACTTAATTAGAAAAATAAATTGATAAAAAAAATTTTAAAAAAAATAAAAAAGTACAGGTGTAGTGCGTCAGTTAGAAGATTGAAATTTTTATTTTAAAATTTAAGGATTAAAATAAAAGAATTTGAAAATTACGAAAAAAAAAAAAAACCTACAGAGATTAAATAGTAAATCATGAGAGGATAAACAGTGAAAATCACTGTTCCAAGCCCTCATTTCTTTTAGTTTCTTTGTAATGTAATATGCTATTTACAATTGGGTTAAGAGATTTGAACAACAGAAAGCGAAAAGATCAAACCAAACCAAGCCCTTGTTAAAGAAGGCCAAGAGACTGTAGAACTAGAGTAGCACTACTATATTTTTTTGGCTGCTCTGCGAGGGGCAGAGAGAGAGAGAGAGAGAGAAGAAATGTCAGGAAGAGGAGGAAAGAGAGCAGCTGCTGCAAGGGAGGAGGAAGAGAGTGGGGCTGATGACAGTTATGCTCAACAACCGCCGGCCAAGAAATTCGCCAAGCCTGACAACTCATCCTCTGATAGCTCTGATGGCATCGTTGTTTGTGAGGTAGGTGTCTACCCCTTTTTATATATTTGTTTTATGTGTTTAGGGTTTTGAAAATAATTTTGGGTTCCTTTTGTTTTGTGTAGATAGGGAGGAATAGGAGAGTGACAGTGAGGAACTGGAGAGGAAAGATTAATGTTGATATTCGTGAGTTTTATCCCAAAGATGGCAATTTTCTCCCTGGCAAAAAAGGTATGTTTTTAACCTTTTCTTTAAAAAAATAAATAACTTTGTGTTTGTTGATGGTGTTTTTATGGGGTGGGCTCTTTAGTTTTAGGGTTTTATGATCACATGACTGTATTTGCTCATTTGGGTGTTTTGTTTTGTTTTGTATTTTTTTCTTTTGGGTTTTACTTGGAAAAGAAAAGGAGTAACCTTTTTAGGGTTTGTTAAATTTTGGATTAGCATGAAAGGTAATTTGAGGGTGTGGTATATCCAGGTTTGAAGTGAAATATAATATCAATGAGTTACAAGGAGTAGTAACTCGGGAAGTTTGCTTTAGCTTTGGGAGCTTCTATCTTTATTCATGAACAAGAAGACTATTGAGATTGAGAGAAGGTGTTTGTTGTTCTAGTGGGGAACTATCAATTTGTTCTAATTTTTTGTCTTTGCAAATGTAATGATCAATTTGTTAAACCAAATCTATGAATTTTTGTAGAAATGGATGTGAATGTGCTATCGTTAAGATGGGAAACTATTGGAAGCAATAGGATATCTGCATATTTAAGCTAGAATAAAGATGGCAAGTAATTTGAAAAGGTTTTTTCGTTTGTAATCTTGAAGTAGGTAAATGGATAGTGCACTTTTCCAGCTTGGTACTGGGTTTCATCTCAAGTCTAATTAGTTCTCAAACCTATAAAAATGCTGAGGCTAAGGATAAAGCTTTTGTTGTGAGATCTTGGCCCAGTGATGAGGATATTTCTGGGAATGCTGTCTTTTCTATTAGGGCATAGATAATCTTGGACCATGGTTTGCATCCTGCTTAGACAGGCCCACATGAACCATGTCACTGGTTTAATATAAGTGGGGATGGTCTTCAGTTGTTTTTTTTTATATAAAACCAGTCATAGAATTTGTATTGACATTTTCCTCTAAGGTATTGAGGAAAAAAACAGAATGTTCGATGGTAGGAAAGCGACATGTGTCGGAAGGATTTTGCCCCTTCTCCTGGAAGATGGGCTACTCGATGATTGTTTGAGAAACCAAACAGGACAGGTGGATGTATGCACATGCCTCAACCTATAGTCTCATGTAGTACCTAGGCAAATTGAGTCTTTTTTTCCAATAAACTTGGGAAAGGTTAACACATTCATTGTTTATTGATAAATTAGTTAATTTTGGCAAGAAATAGGGAAATTTTCAACTACTAGAGTGAACGAAGCTACAAAGACAGTAGCATTCCAAGTTTTCAATAGCATTTTCATTTCAATGGTTAACTCTGCCAACATATTGCTTAAGAATTGAGAAAAACCATACTCTTCTGCCATATTCACATGGCAATTGCATGGTGAAAGTCTTACATGTCTGTTTTTAATTCCATTTTCTGTACAATTAGAGGCTTAAACCCGTTTTTAGTTCATGAAACTGATTCAGCCTTTTTATTTTTATGCATGCTGTTTGTGATCTCTTATGTTGATTTTCTGGCTAGTGCATTACTCCTTTAGGTGCCTTAAAAATTTAGACATTGTATTTATAAATTAAAACTTGTCTGATGAGAGAAAGACATGTCTAATGAAGTGTTAGATTAGTGAAGGGTAGTGCATGGCTCATCTATTATGAACAGAGGATATTTTTCATGCTGGTATATGCCTGTTTTGATAATTGTTGCTCCTTGTTTTTATATCTCCCTTGAAGATTTTTCCAGTTTGGAATTAAGCCACCATCTGTCTAGCATGGATCGCGTGCTTTTCTTTTTTCTTTGAAGTCTGAACTGTAGAATTGATCTTGGCTTGGATGTCTGAGCTTTAAAGCACTTATGTCAGGGAGTGGGAAAAGGAAACATAATTTTTTTCTCCTCTGTTTTCTTCTCTACTTTTGCGCCTTTTAATGTTGCATCCTTGTATTTTTATTCCAGGTATTACCTTATCGCTGGAACAGGTACATGTCTCCTACTTGATGCTTTTTTGCAATGGTTATGGATTTGGAGGTGATTTATTCATTTTGACTTGATTTTGTTCTTTCGTAGTGGAACATGCTCCGTGATCATGTGGAAGAAATTGACAAGGCACTTGGTCATTCTTAGGGCAACAGAGGACATGGGTAGTTTTGTTGATTTTGTTAATGAATGGTAGTCTCACATTAGGATGTTTGGTTTAGTTTCAAGAAACTGGAATGGAGCAGGCAGATGTGTTTTCTTCGTATTGGATGTTCTCGGGGTTTGTGGATTTTCCTGTAGGCTGTGGTGTATAAATGGCATTTTTGAATCCCCTTATTGCAGTTACATGCATACTAATATTAGTCAACTCGGAGGATTTAACTAGCAGTATGAATTAATTGCTTTAGCTCCTTTTCTCTTGATTCAGTTTATTGCATTGTGAGTTGGTAAATGCGTTATAGAGTGTATTGCTTTATAGGGTAAATGTTTACTTAGAGAAACCTGCTTTATGGGTTACGAGTAAATAATTACTTGGAAAGAATATGGTGAATATATATTGGTTTTGATTAGTCTGGTTCTTTTCAAAAGAGAAGGTGGGAGAGATCATATTTTGAAGTGATTGCTGGTACAAGAGTTATTTTAATGATCACACATGGACTGGATTATCCATTTGGTTTGGTTTGACTCGTTCAAAATCGAAATCTGTTAGTTTTATTTTGCAAGTCAAAACAAAATTGAAGTAATCGAATGAAATTCACTGAAAGAAAGTTGGATAAACTTAAGAGGCTGTTTGATAATGCCTTGAACTGTAGTTGGAAGTGCTTTTCAAAGTACATTTGGATGGTTTTGATATATAGGGATTAGAAATATATATATATATATATATATAATAGCATCAAATTGATGTTTTTCTCAGTCCGAAACTACTTTTGCAAAATCAGTTGTATGTTTTGTTTACTCCTAAATTCTAATGCTAGTTTTCTTGAATTGATTCCAGATATAGTAGTTGACGGTTTATGTATAACTTACTGGTTTGATGCGAGTCAGGGTTATGTAGATGTAATTCAGTGTTTTGGTGCGAGTCAACAGATGAGTGTGGGGTGAGGCAAGCTCCGAATACTGGCTATGATTTTGAAATGATAGGAATACTGGATATGATTTCAAAATGAAAGGGCTCAGGGAAAACAGGGAGATGATGGATGATATGTTGGAGGATACGTATCATCCTCCAGATGAAAACAAAGGGTTCTAAATCTGGCTTTGGCGAAACGAGACCATTTTCAATCTTGAGGCATACAATTCTAGTTAATCCTCTTTTTCAATCCTGTGCTGCCGAAATGATTTCTTGTAATTCAACCACTTCTCTTGTTCATGCGTTTGTCAAGAAGAGAGAGCAACTTATTAGGTGGAGTTTTTCTTTGGTTGACTTCGTCAATCTCAACGCGAATGGGTCTAGTGCTTCGCAAACTCTTCAGAGATTTCGTTACATGGTTTTGTTTATAATATTAGTATATGTTCAGTTTTGAATGCAGAACTTCAAGAGATTTTGGTTGGTCTAGAGCTTGCTTGGAATAAAGGGTTTAGAAAAGTGGAGCTTGAGGGGGACTGTAAACTGGCCATCGACCTCTTAATTAAGAATGATCTAGCCTCTTCTTTACATACCCAATTAGACTCTGTTTATTTGGTAGAAAACAATTTCATTTAGGAAAAGCAATTCTAGAGAAGTTAATTTTTAGAAAATTGTTTTTCTAAAAAAATATTTTTTGACGTTTGACAATTATATGAAAAAATGTTGAAAAATATATTTCAGCATTTGTTTGATATAGAAAACTAAAATACAAAAAAGAAAAGACTCGATTGTTATATTAACGGGTTTTAAGGAAATTTTAACAAAACATATTCACAATCTCACAATATAAAATGCATTAAAAAAAAAACTTAATAAATTTTTATAATTACTAATTCTAAGATTTAAATTCAAAAAATCAAAAAATAAAAAATATATTTTTAACTCGTCAAATCAATTCATCAAAACTAGTTAGGATAAAATCAACCTAATATCACATTTAGTAAAAAAATTTCTAAGTAATCCTAGTATTGTTATTTTGGTAACTCAATTAAGAAATTTTTTTTTCTTTTTTTTTTTTTGGAATTGAATTGATAATTTAGTTTAAAAAATAATTTTACAAATTATTAGTTATCATTTGTAGATAATTATTCATTTGGTTTTAAAAGATTAATATCGAATAATTTGTAACTAATTATTGACTACAATTACGAATAAAATTTTTACAATCGATTAAAATTAGTCATAAATTATTGATTTAGTTACAAATAAATAGTATTGAAAAAATAATATATTTATTAATGAATTAATTAGTTACAAAATTTTCACAAATGATTGCAGTCTTATAATAATCATTTTCAATTATTTAAGCATAGTTTATGTGGTTTTTGAGATAATAGTTAAAAAAAAAGAGATAAATTATTGAAATATTTATTATAAAAATAATTTTAAGGCATAAAAATGATTTTTAAGAATATTTAATGTATTTATAAATTAAAAAATTAAATGTTAGTGGAAATAGAGATAAAATAATAAAATAATTAATAATAATTGATAAGAAATAATTAAAAATAATTTGATGTATTTTAAAAACCGTTATACGTTAATGCTTGTTTAACATTAAAGTAATTATTAATGTTAGTAAAAATGTTTTTTTCTTTTTTAACTTGGAAGTTACTTTTTTTAAAAATAGTCTATTAATTTTCATTGGTTAGAAATCAAATTTCATTAACTTTTTTCCTAAACACGAAACAAATATCGAAAAATTAGGAAAACAAGTTTCGAAACTTATTTTCTTCGCAACAAACACAGACCTTAGTTCATTTTATTATTCTAGCCTCTTCTTTTTATACCCAATTACTTCATTTTATTATTCTTATATTGCAATATCTTTTAGAGATTCGTCTTTGAAACATCTAATATGAAGGGAAGTAATGTGTGGATTAACTAGCTAGTTATACTCACTTCTTAAAGATTGGAGTTTCATTTTTTTTAGCATGATATTAGAGGGATTATTACTATTATAATTTTTATTAAAGAGAGATAAATCTCTAAAAAACTTGTTAAAGTTGCAAAGTCTAGGAGTCGCAACTACTCTCTAACAAAAGGCTTGAAATTAAAAACTCCTTGAAAAATATGAACTTATCCCAATTGAAGTAGCTCCCAAATGGGAGTAGACATAAGATGCTAGTCAATCCGCAATAGGATTGGCTTCTCTAAAAAATAAAAATAAATATGAACTTGTTTTGAAAGTTAAGGTAGCTCCCAAATGGAATAAATTGGCTGGCTATAATCTCCATTATGAACTTCTTACGAAGATAATAACCGAATAGCTAGTTTTAAATCAATTTCAAGTATTATCTCACAAAAACTTGCATTCTAAGTCATTTCTAAGTCGGTGAAAATGTTTCAAAGTTCAACACATAGGATCAAGAAAATTCCAATGTGATAAGAAAAGTCTTGAATCTTGGTTTTTGAATCATTCCATAATACACCATCCGTAAAAAAATATGCTAATGGAACTACGCATGACTTTATTTGTGTTTAATTTAACCTAACTACTCGGAGGTTTATGCTAACTAATAAAAATTTTTTAGTTTCATGCAAGTATGTTTTTATAAAGAAAATATTTCAACACTAGCATTAACTTGGTTAGTAAGCAATATAATTGCATTCACTAGATTAGTAGTAGGCACAAAACTATCAGCAAATAGGCTTTTGTTGCATCAACGCCATAAAAGTCAACAATACACTTCGAACCATATATTCCACGGTAGCAAATCATTGACTCACCTAGAATCATTTGTCGATTAGTCCAAAACCAATCTTGAGGATTACACTCAAAGAAATGCTAAATTATTTGAGAGGCCCCACACCTATCCCAAAGTGATTTAGCATGTGAACAATCTCTTAGAACATGAATGATCGATTCAATAGGAGCTTCATAACGATAATGAGTGTCTTCCGTGCACTTTATACTCATTAGTCGAAGCTTACTATGAATTGCATGCCATAAAAATGATCTACTTCTATGAGGACCATCACAATGCCACACCAAACTCAACCTTATATTAATGATGTTTGTAAGAGGGTTCAAGAGAGATTTATAAGTAGATTTAACAATGAAAGCACCATTACTAGTAAGAACCCAACAAAGTTGATCACTACCCGCATTCACTGGGGAGGAAGCATCTCTACAATCTGTAAGTAGACGAAGTAGGAAGTAAATCATTGAACTTATCCCACCATCAATGCCCGGAGGTGGTAATAAATTCCTTAACATAAGAATTGGATTATGTGGTTACATAAAGATCTTGTCATATATGACTTGAATTTTATAGGCCAATAATATATTTAGCTCATTAGGTTTTTTCTCCTTATGTCTTTTTTTACAAAATAGAGTGAAAGACAAATACTTTGTATTGAGCCTCTAGGGTTTTTGTATTCTTCTACTATCAAGCTAATAAAACTTTCCTCTCGTCCGTAAAGTAGGTAATTTATCGAACCACATAAATCTTGTGTATTGATAATTTGTTTAGCTTTATCTTTTGATTATTATTTGTCATTACTTGTCTTATTTTCGCTGTTTGTCATAACAAATTAGTATTAGAGCATAGGTTGTGCATCTATGGGTTTTTCTCGTTCGTAATGGTAGCTCTAAATTTGATGTTTTACCTTTTGATGGTTAAAATAATTTTGACTTATGGAGAATAAAGATGAAAGTTTTGTTACGGTGTGAAGGTTCCGTTGAGACAATTGCGGATATATACCCGGATGATATAACTTTTGTCGAAATTGAAGAGATGGATGAGAAAGGCTTATAGTGCTCTACAAATATCATTTTCAAATAAGGTATTGTAAGAGGTGCCGGATGAAGAGACGATAGCGAGGATTGTGAAAGTAGTTACAAAGCCTCTACATGAAAAAAACCTCTTATAACAAGATTGTATTTGAAGCGGCGTCTTTGTATACTAAAGATGCAAGAAGGTATGTCTATTTATGAACACCTTGATAAATTCAATAAGATTGTTATAGATATGAAAATCTTAATATTAAATTTGATGAAGAAGGTCAAGCTCTTATTGTATTGTATTCATTACTCGCTTCGTATGAGAATTTTGTTAATTCAATATTGTATGATAGAGAATCTATAACTTTAAAGGGTGTTAAAGATTCTTTGAATTTTACTGAGTCGAGACGAAACCGAATGGTAAAGTCGTTTATAGTTAGGCTAATGGTTTGCCGATAAGGGGAAGACGAAGGATAGAGAAAGTTATAAATGAAGACCTAAATTACGTTCTAAGTCTAAAACACTCCCGAATAAGAAAAATAATATTAAGTGCTACTATTTTCACAAGAAAGGACATTATAAATTAGATTGTCCTACTCTAGAAGAAGAAGAAGAAACCACGGGGTTAAAGTTTTGAGTCCGCTAATATGACAAAGGCTACCGATGTTAATGCTTTTGAAAATGTTATTCGTTGTATATCCTTTAAATGGTCGTTCTAATAAAAAATGGATCTTAGATACGGATGTTTCTTATCATATGTGTCTAAATAAAGAGTGGTTTACCATTTATGAACCTAGAAGTGGTGGCTCTATTCGATGGGCAACAATTCGGATTGTGAGATGAATGGTATTGGTACAATTCGTATCGATTTCATGATTTGGTTGTGAGGACTTTGAAAAAAAGAGACATATACCGGATTTGAAAAAGAATCTAATTTCTTGAAGCTATCTAGATTCGAGAGGTTATAGCTACTATGGTAAAAGTGACTTAAGCTTTTTATTAGATATTTAAAAAAATTATTATTAACTAATTTTGTGTTGCCTCAAAAATATAAAAACTAAATAATAAGGTCTAATCATGAATGGATGTATGTTAGGTGTATAGATGAGTATTTAAATGATGATTTCGTGAATAAGGTTGAAGAATTTATTGCATTTGTTGCTACTCATCCTCAATATATGGACGGGAGAAAGTTAAGGCATTCTTGCAATCACTATAAGTGTCAAAATCAAAATTTTAAAGAGGTTTCCATGATTAAATACCATTTAGTGAGATATGATTTTGTGTCGGGGTATTATGATCGCATACACTATAGAGAAGTTGACTTGAAGAGTTATGTTGTATCGAAAAATTTTTATAAAGGTGAAAGAAGTTATAGTCAACCCCCAATCCATAAGAAAAAATGATGATGGATGTAGTCGATTCATCATTTAATCGATCTAGGATAGATGAGGTATCAAATCCCAATGCTTGAGTCTTTTATGACATGTTAAATATAACGAATAAAGAGATTTTATCTAGTTATGACAATCACTCCTAGTTGTTTGCAATTGCCCAATTACTAAACCTTAAGCCAAACACTATTTTTTTGAAATGTGTCATGATGAGATATGTGGGTTGATGAAGAAATTGATGTCAATTGATAAGCTGTTTGATAGAGAATTTTTATAACATCAAAAAGTTCGTGAAATGGATGAGTTTACCAATAGAAAAGATTCGCTATTATAACAAAATCTATATGATTTATTAGAGTGATGACAATGAATTAACTCGCTTATAAGTTTTGTAAACATCCTTGATATCAAAATTCGAGATGCGGATTGATAAGAGAAAAACATGTTCCATTCAAAACATGTGAATACTAGACATCGCAAAGTGTCGTATAATGTTGAGCGCGATGCGGAATTGAGTAATCACATTGAAGGGATGCTTTTCATATTCAAACAAGCATGGTCAACTAATTGATCGAGCCACGAGCATGAAGGTTGGCGGAAGAAGAGCATAAAGCAACTTATCAATATGTATTATTGAAATGTTAAGTTAAATCTTACATTTATTAAGTATATAACATTTAATATCAATATTTTAATATTTAATTAGCCATCATAATATACAAACTAACTAGTATGAGATTTTTCAATAGTGGATAAATTGCTTAACTACAATAAAATAATCCCTATATGCTTGAGTATAAAGTTGATGGTCGACTTAAAACCAACTTTGTTGAATGGTTTAGTACATATATGAGTATCCTTATTTTAGTTCAAGCTTGCTAAATGATTTTCTTTGACTCTTAACTAAACTTCTTGTCATAGATCTCGATTTTTTAGATAGAATATGCCCGACCAACTCCGTATGACGAATCAGCTCATAAAAGATCTTAGAAAAGGCCCTTTACAGATCGCAAAGTCGTATCCATGATACATTGTAAACAAATATAGATTTCACACACAAGAGATGGTGCAAATAGAGCAAGTATGAATAGTAAAATATGCATTAAAGGATTATAACATAATGCAGATTCATTTTAAGAAGATGATGCAAAAATCCAATATAATTTAGTCTAAGATGATGGTGAAGAGCATTCATTGAATGATTCAAATCAATCATTTATAAATATACAAATAATTGAAACTAATGAAGAAAATGAGAATGAATATACATCGAATCAACTAAAGAAGAGGAAAACTTAGAAGATTGTTATGACAGTTGTAATTAAAGATGAATTTTATTTATTGTATTCATTAAGTTATATCGTTTTATCTATTATGTATTTTTTTATGTTTGTTGTGCATTTTAGACGTGTTGATTTTGTATATTTTAATTCATAATAATTTATAGTATATTTTCTATCAAATTGTTAGTTATTTGTTTAATTATTTTAGGTGTTATTCTTAAGTCATGCCTCGTGGATTGTGCGGATCCGGTAATGGTATCAATGATCGTGGCTCTAATCTTTACCGTTTGATCGATAATGGCAGTGTACATAGATATGATATTACTAGTCTAACTATTCTAGATCGCTAACTTGATAGTGGTGTCGGCATATCGGCATCCGCTCTAGTAGTGCCTCTACCAATACTATACTTTGTTGTAGTGATCTTATTATGATATCCTCAACTCAAAGAAGTTCTACAGGATCTTATGATGGACGGACCATTTGGATCGTGAATAACCGACAAGTAATATGTTTCACATGCGATAATTAGTTTTATATTTTTATATATTATATTGAAATCATTAATTCAGTTTTTTTTTCAACGAGTTTGGTTTCATTGAGCAAGTGCTTCATAAAAATCATCCTAATTTTTTAAGAACGATTGGACGTCATTGGCTCCACATGGAAGTTTGTCTCTATTGAGACAAAAGACTTCTACTTTAATGAGTTTAGGGTTACATATTAATTATTTACTTATATTTTATTTAATGTGTTAATTTAACATGAAAAATGCTAATATTATTGTTTTTTCTTCGTGTAGAAGTACTTTTTTATAGGATGCGACCGTTAATATACTCGTTTAAGGATGTATGGGAGAGTATGGCACGGAGGCGATACGACAACATACTTAACAAGCTAAAGCATAAGGATAACGGACTTGTGTTTGTTAAATAGGAGGTGTGAGAAGCATGACACCAAGATTGAACCACTCCTAGGTATTAGGCTCGAGCTCGGCAGACGTCTCGAAACAACATGTCGGAGATTGATGGCGTCGGTCTTGGCCCTTCCAAGCATACTAGAAGGTCCATCTCTTTGATCGAACACGCTACGCATTTGTTAAATACTATTTTATCCATTGTGTTATAAATTAATTTTTGTATTTATTTCATTTCATATTATTTTGTTTATTTTTTTAGTATAATAAATTGGGTCGTAATCCAAATTCTTACAAGTCGTTCGTGACCACTCACAAACCGAATGTTAGGACATTCATTGACAAGAGATCGCAAATAGTAACAATAAGGTTTTATATTTTTTTTAAATAAATATATATCTACCAATATAATCTGAAAAAATATATTTATGATTTAATATTGTTATTATTTTAATGAATCAAGAGCACGTGCGATCAATGCAAGAAGCAATTGCTAAGGAGCGACAAGAGGGTGATTCATTGTCTCAAAATATTGACATATTCAAGATTTGGATGTCTGTCGGAGGGGAGAAAAAACAAAGAGTGTATAATATCAAAACTTATGCGTCTCAATGTTAGTCACATTTTAACGTCGGCTCCTCCTAAGCCACTTCGTGGTATCCAGTGGGAATATCCAGGTGATAATATCCGGGAGGTTTCGCCGAGTACAAAGATCGGATCGAGGGGATGGAGGCTACCATCCAGCAACAAGCTAGTCAATTTAGTAGCATATAAACTGCGTTGCAGAGAGTTATGGGGTTGTTAGAGAACCTCCAGGTCGCCTTTCGTCCCTCCAGACTTACCCTCCTACAACCCGACGAGTTAGTCATTCCTTTAAATAGCCGATAGCCGAAAGATGATGCAAGAGATGGTAATAATGAGGACTAAATTTCTTTTTTAAAAAAATTAATTTTTTTATACATTTTAACGCATTTATATATTTATTTTATTTTAATTATTCATTTTTTAATTTTATTAAATAATATATCGTGTTTTAATAGGATGATGTTTACACTTGTTTGTTATTACAATTAAAAAAAATAGTAATGGATACATATACAGTCGTTAAATAGCAACTAAATTAGCAATAGAATTACGAGGATATTAGCGACTATAATTTAACGATAAACCATTCCGTTGTTATTTAGCAACAGATGTAAGTCGAAATAGCAATGGTTATACATGGATCTAAGACATCACGGATGACTGATTTAAATTGATTTAGCGATGCAAATTCAACTATTTAGCAAAGAAATATCTATCGCTAATCATCGTCGAAAAAAAAATCGATCGCTAAAAAAATAGCGGCCACCATATTAGTGACAGAATACTTATTGTCTCTAATCCGTTGCTAATTAAATGTAGCAACGGATGCCATATAGTGATGGAAAAATCTGTTGCTATTTGATAGTGATTATATATAGAAGCTTTTGGTTATTCCTCTTGAAGTTAAAGATGTAAAAAATGCATAAATAGATGATCTGTTCACCTGAATTTGCCAAGTCGTTTACCCTCTGATTCCTGATATATTTTTATACAAGAATGACAGTCAGTTTGGAGTTGGATATTGATCAGATATTTGTGTTAAGCACCTAACCCTGCAGCAAAACCCATCTGGGTATGAGGATGGTTGGCATGGTCCCGAAACAAACACCAAAGGAGCAATGTCAGAATTTTATATGGTTCCTGATCTTGAATGCTTTTATATTAACTGAAGAGAAAGCAATACCCTGAGTGATGTAGCTTATTGAATAAAAATTTATAATTATGGGTAACGAGGGAGGAGGGGCTCAACCCCCAGACCTCTAGCTAGTGGGGAGGGGGATATGGATGCCGGGGGTGACCTACAAGCTCTTTGGCAATTATTTTTTATATTACTGAAAGCTTTGCATGGACTGATAGAATTATGTGTACTCTGAAAATGTTTGTCCAGGTGAAAGCTTTGAAGCTATAATTTGACATGGAATTAAGTCTATTAAACATGATATTTCTTCAAAGTAAAGGAATTATTTGAGCAAAATATATGGATTCAAGATCTATATAAAGAATTGAACGTACTGGATAAAACTACATGTTATAATTCTCAAGTATGCTTCCACAATGGACCTGGCAAATATAATGTATCTGATATACATCCATAAAAGTGCTCAGACCAGGGAGATAACTGATAACTAACTTTACAGGTTAAATTCCTACTGGCGGGGAAAGTTCTAGCCATGAGAATGCCTGTGTATATAATACATGCAGTCAATTCAAGTATATTTCTACAAACCTTACTCAATCTTCCAGGCATAAAGGAAAAGGCAGAATTCTGGTGTTGCTGAGACACTCCTGGTTGAAAAATACATACTCCCATCACTGGTATCGCTCGGGGTACCATAACTGCTGCCATCCTTGTCGTCTTCCGATTCCGAAACCCCTGGTTTGAATATGAACAAGCCATGGCCAGTGCCAGGGGTACTAAACAGCCAATCATGGACATCCCAGAACACTTGCACTGGTTGTCTGCTCAACATCACAGTTTGGTTCCCTCTGAATTTCCACTGCAAATTCCTAACATGAATCATGACGATTCCATCTATGCTAATCCACATCTCAGGGTCTCTCGGCCCTCCTGTTGAACTTTCTACAATAATATCATGCTCATGTTTCTTTTCGTCGAATTTAGCTCTGGTTGAGAAGGTTTTCTTGTGAAATACATGTTCCTTCTTCAAATATAAGATAGCCTCAACAAGAGCCGGTCTTGCTTTGGCTTTCTTATAAGCCTTTTTATTGTAATCTCCCAACAGTAATACGACCTCTTCATCTGAAACTACAGCAACATAATAATCGCTAGCCGGCTCAGGACTCCCAGCAAATTTAGCTGATCGGAAATCCCAATGTATATCTACTTGACACCCTTCAAGCTCGAAGGACTTACTCCCTTTTTTGCTCCAAAAAAGCCAAGGCTTAAGGTCAATCTTGCAATTGTAACAAACCTCACCTTCAAGGTTACTGATGATGAGGCTGAGGGTATGATTCATAAGGTTCTTGCACCATAAAACCATGACATTACGCCAATAACCTGCTACATAAGCCTGGTATGCACACGTGACGGTACTCTGAGGCGTTTTACTTGTCAATGGATCATCTGATATTTTTTCCGGTGCAGATGGTAAGGAAGCTCCCACTGAGAAGTTTCTCACTGGATGTTGGAAAGACATTGTTCCGTAAATACTCAAACGAGAGCGAAACTGTGATTTCAAAGGCAAAAGAAGGAACACGAATGCAACACAAGCTGCGATCCCATTCTATCCTGCCCTACCAACGTATTTTCTGGCCCTTTTGGATAAACATATAAAATTGTTGTTCATAACATGAGCAAAACGTTATAGGTTACCTTATCAGAAAGCTTCCGTAAAAATTGATCAATGGTTCCGACATTGACAAGATTGGATATTTTGTTGAAGAACCTGGTGGTAAAAAATGCAACTGAACTAAATTTACCTCTAAAACACTCACTGGCTTCTGATGCTGCAAAAGAACCTGAAAATGCAGCCAAAATGGGGGTGGTACTGCAGGAAAAGGGATGCAGAAAGTTTTCTGTTTGTTTGGTTGAAGAGGGATAAGGAAAGATGCTGACATGGAAAGCTCTTAGAAAATGTCTCCAGCTAGAGGCTGTGATCAAAAGCTTGCCCCAAAATAGGAGGACTAATTAAAGGAATTGTCACTGTACATTTGTCCTGAATGTTTACCATATATATGCACTTGTTAATGCATACAAAATTTTTATCTTTTGGCATCTCTTACTTCACTAATCACATAATCACCCTGAAAAATTATGTTATATTTGGAATATGAGAAGATAAAGACCATAAAGGAAGGGAGAGTTTCTTCTTTTATTGGCTACAAAAGCTCAAGGCTTTTATAAAAGCCTGAATATGTTGGAGATTTATGACATTATACCTCCACATTTTTATTTGTAGGGATTATAACCAGCTAGATTTGGACTATCAAATAAATCTACAAAAAATAAATATTATTCTGCATGAACCAAAAATAAGGAGGACTTTTAGGCAGCAAAAACTAAGTTCTATCAAGGTTCTTTCCAAGAATTTCCTAGCTATTAGTTTCACTGCAGATACTGAAACTGGATTCCACTAATTGGACCATAATTAAAACAGGGCCTCTTTTGATTGTCCTTGAGAGACTTTAGGCCATGCCATTCCATCAAGTAGAAATGTAAGGTTCCATTATGATGCAGATGAAAATTAGAGTGCCAATCCTGAACCTAATGAGGCAGACTTGGAATCAGTTGTGATGCAAGAAATGGTGATCATCCAGAAGTTTTTTATGGCTTGCATCCATTCCTTTTGGAACTGGGAATAGGGATTTGCGTTGGGATGATATTCAAGATACACATGCTTCATATGGATCATTAATGGAAGAGCAACTCGCAAATAAGATCAAAATAGGATTTAAGACCAGACATAAACAACACATCGAGCATGTCTCAGAAAGTTAGAATTTGCATGTCAGAAACTACCCTATATAACAACAGAATCGACCTACCTCCCCCACAATTTTTTCTCTCTTTGCATCTTTTGATAAATCAAGTTTTACATTTTTCTTTTTTGTTTGTTCGATTGCTTGCTTCTACCACAAAATCAATGGAAAACAAATTCCAATTGCTCCAGCGACTACAATAAACACCAACTTTGTATCTCATGACACCATACAGGTTCCCTTCTTTTTTTGTAGCATCGCATACGCCTCAACGTAGAGAAGCGTAGTGCATTTTCATAGCACAAGTGTACGCAACAGATGAACTCTCAATACAAGTTGGGGTCACTATTATCTTAATCATGGTGCAATTGGAGTTTGCCTTTCCGATTCTTGGAAGAAACACCTTGGCTTTCCACCTTGGGGTGACTTTCCTCTCACTTTTTTCCATTTGCAAGTACACTTTCTTCCAATCCGAGCATATTTTGAAATAGTACTTCCATTCATCACCATGGCATTGCTATCGAATTAGCATCTTCATAAATTATCATCAACAAAATTACCTTCCAAGTTTTTTATTTGTCTGTAAATAAATATTTAAGAAAGCATGGGCAAAGGGACTTCGTTCTTTTAACAATTAAAGAAAGCACCATGCATTTTTTCACTTTTTCCCCCATTCCCTAAGCTATCCTTCCTAACAAATACAGTAATCCTTGGAACTACAGTTCAAATAAGCAAACTCAGTAACACTCTTGTCCACAATTCAAACAATTTTGACGCCAACTTCTCTTAAAGAATCAATCACGGCTTTCACCTTTCCATGATATTTCTGATCTTTCTTCAGGAAAACAGTAACAGCAGGTATATCCTTGAGCAGCAGGCGTTCTCCTAGTATCTTCCCAATCTTGGCAGCAGCTGCCACATCTCGGGTATTTTCCATGGTTGGTCTCAGGGCCTTCTCCTGTGAGCTTGCAGCAGATGCTACTGTGGCACTTGGTGAGTGCGTCACTTGGGCACTAACATACTTGTTTGTGAAATGCATCTTCAGAACATAGGGCTTCAGAAACTGAGTAATTCTAGGCGGTCTAACTGGGGGTGGAATAACCATCTGTATCTGCAAAATAAAAGCCAATAGAATCATAGGTACAGAAACAAAAAAGTCCTACATAATTCAATAAATAAACCTAATGGTTTTATGAGAAGAAAAGGCCACAACTCTTTTGCCTAGTGTTTGAATGAAATCTGAGCCAGTGTGGTAAAATAGAATGCAAGAATCAAGAATATGCAAAAGGATAAGAAAGCTTATTAGGCAAACAAATATGTTGCCTGACTCAGAGAACATCAACTGTTAAAAAGATGAATGCCATAAGCTCTAAATTAAAAGGAAATATCCACATCATGGAGGTACCCAGCTACAATGATTCAACTGGATGACCTAAAACCATCATTTGAAGGAGTTTATACAACACTTCAAGCGTAGTAGAGCCAAAGACGTGCAGATGCCAACTTCTATAACTCCATAGACTAACCAGCTATGCCATTAAACGTAATTTCTCCACATCCTTTCTATCCCATATTCACATGAATTTCTCCAATCCTCAATCAGTGTAACACTTCAATTTCCGTTTTGCACTTGTTAAACAATACTATCATGCTAACAAATATCTTGTTATCTTTCTTTTCTCATGAACCATAAAGTATAAGACTGAGTTTGTCTTTTGCATGAATCAACACACAACACCGCAATACAACATAAAAATGCTGAATGAAGAAGGAAAAAAAAGATGGATTTGTAAACCATTTCACTTTAGAAAGCTTTAGAGATCTTTGAAGCTGCAACCAGTACAATAAATCAGTCAGGCCTATAGAGAAAAGCTTCTCTAAAGATCAAAAAAGAAGTCAATTAATATTCCTAAGTGATTCACTTAACAGTCAAGTAGGTTAGGTTTAGTCTTCATCCTTTTCTCTTCTTAAATACTTTCTACTGCACAAGTATGCCGAAAGAGACAAAAGGTTGTAAGTTGGAACAAAACCCATTGAGAAAGAGAGAATGCCAGACTGGCTAACAAACTACCAGCATCTTGTGAAGCATAAGGACAACCTTAAAGCTGGACTTATGTCAAACCTATGTAATTAAGAAAAGTATCATGAGCTAAGCTTTCCTGTAGACAGTCGAAGAAGAGTTAGAATACCCACTTGAATTATCTACATCAGAAATTGCAGGATCGTTGCTTTTCTAAAAAAGCAAGACCATAAGCTATTTTCCACTCAACAAATAATCATTCTACTCTAGCAACAATATTGTTCCCACTGCCAAAAAGAAATGTGTATGCTCCACTGTAAAGTAAACTCGGACTGCTCCATATAGAGGATTTCAAGCAATTGATGAAAATGGGCGGTTTCGGGTCTCTTCCTCTCTCCCAAGAAAAGTGGGGAAGGACTCATTAGAACATGCTGATAGAATGTAATATATCTCATGGTCAAGAATCAATTGAACCACTCACAGTGTGTGCAGTTTGAACTAAAAAGTAAGAGACTTGTAAGGGCAATTCATCCTCCAAACGGTAATAGGTGTCTTAAAACAATAAACACAAAATTAATGACAAAAAAAATCCACATCAATGAACATTAACAGCAACCACAAAACCTAAAACATCATCAAATTCATAATAATCAAAACAACCGATGCAAAGACAATAACTTCATAACCTCTCAAATCAAATAAAAAAGCAGTCTTGTCATCTCATATTGCAGTTGCGGAGAGTGTTTCTAGTTGTACTACGAGGAACGAAACGAACATAAGAACTACACAAACAAAGTAGAAACCTTTACATGCCTAAATCACATTAGACCATCTATACTGAAGAACAAAATCCCAAACTGTCAAAAACTAAAATTTCCAAACAAATGGCAACAAATTCTTGAAACCATTTCATATCAAAGTAGGTAAAAAAAAAAAAAAAAAAAAAAAAAAAAAAAAAATATTCTAAGCCATAAAAACAAGAACCCATTTGACTTAAAGATGGTACCTTTGCTGATAAAGAATGAAACCCTTATGAGCAGAGAAGAAAAATGGAAGGTGATTCTTCAGGAGGCAAGAGACTATGAAGGCTAGTTGAGTCCGGCTTCAGTCGAAGGGAAGGGAATGCCCAACTCCGTGACTAGGAGTCGGGAGAGGAAGATTTAATTGGGCTGTAGTTGGGCTTTGAATGCCTCAAGCCCAACTCAAATCTTATTAGATCATTTTTTGTTTTCAATGCAGCCGCATTGATATTAAAGGTTTAAATGGCATATTTAAGTATTAGTAAAAATAAGACATGAACTATCAATTTAGTTTATTTTGACCTTAAATTATTATTGTTTAGATAATTTTTTTTATTTTTTTTTCATGTTTCACACTGAAATACTTTAAAAAAAAAAGCATTGATTTAAGTATTTTAGTTTTTAATTTTAATTTTTAAAATTATTTTTGAAAAAAATACTTAATAATTGTAAAAAATAGAATTGGATCTAAATTAGTGAAAACTGTTCAAGTAAAATTGTTTTTTGAAATTATTAAAAAAATCAAAAATAATTTCTACATGTCAAAAAAAAAAAAACCATCAATTGCAAAAAAATGAAATTGGGCTTATATTAGCTAAAGCTATTCAAGAATTTTTTTTTTTACAAGTATTAAATAATTTTTTTCAAAATAATTTTAAGAATTGGGCCTAGATCACTATATGGATATGAAAATCTGACTCATTCATATAGATATGAAAAATACTGGATTTCTAATCTTAGTAGGAAAAGGAGGGAAACGATAAAAAAAAATGAAATGCTTAAAATCAATTAACCGTTGAATATAATGAAAAAAAAAACAAAAAACAAAAATTTCCTAATAAATAATTTTAAGATTAAAATAAACTAAATTGATTTTTCAAATCTTATTTGACCATAACTGTAATAATTTTGAATAGAATATGTTATTCAACCGACATTAAAGCACACTACCGTATTAGTTAAGAGTCTTGTTGCAAATAACTAAAATAGAGTCATGAATTCAATTCAATAAAAGCAATGGTATGGACAATAATTTTATAGAATATTATTGTTTTGAATTTTGATACAAATGATAGAGAAATAGGGACTAAGAGCGTAGGAAAGCAACACCAACCATGTAGCGTCCTTAACCTAATTTCTTACAAAAACTTCGTATAACTTAGCCATTTTAGTTCTAGAAAACTCAATTAATCACAAAATATCACTTAGGACCGTTAAAACCTCACATTAGAAAGATTAGGAATTTTTTTTTTTTGGACAGCGGGTTACACGGCCTCTAACATGGTCGTGTACTTGCTCGTGTAACTTAAAACTCATTTTCCATTGAAAATAGAAGGTTATACGGCCTTCCACACGGGCGTGTACCTTCCCGTGTATGTTTCTGTCCAAAACAAGGGTTTTTCAGCCATAACACTTCAAACCTAATCAACAACATTCTTTCCACTTATAACCCTTGGATATTTAATCAAAACCACTTTTTCTTTGTTCATAAACACGTCACAAAACACCTCCAGGAGTTCATATTTACATAGTTACATATACAATTCAAAAATCTCATAAGATGCATATGCTCGGCATAATGAGAGAAAGGAGAGGGAGATCGCCAGCCGACCTATCACTCATGACGTGAATTGAACAACAAAAGATGACTTTAACTTCCACTTTTGCTTCTTAGTACCTAAAAAGATAATTGCATTTTGAATGAGATGTTACTCAATGAGAGAACAATAATCCATTGAAACCATAACATGAAATCACGTCATCCAGTATCATCACATATAAACAATACGAGTAGTTCATATGACTCTAAGATTATATGCTTTTCTTTTTCTTATCGGTTATAACTTGGCCATGTCAAGTTTCATCCCGAGTACTTGTAACTTGTAAACTTGTACACATGTATTGTCGGCCGACTTTTATAACTTGTAGTTGACCCGTTAGGTCCTTGTAAACTTGTATTTACGAAACTTGGACAAGCCAGTCATAACCTTAACCTCTTAGTCTTACATATATCATGAATGTTTCACATATAGCATATACAACATCCATGGCTTACACCATGGTACATATCCATTATAACATCAATAAACATAACGTTTGCGTCAACTAGCAAACGGCATATCATTCACATCATAATATCAATATCAATAAATATAATATTGTTATAACATCAATAAACACAACGTTTGTGTCAACTAGCAAACAACACATCATTCACATAATAGTATCAATATCAATAAATATAATATTAGCACTCAATAGCAATAACATATCATGGCATAACTATTATTATTCAACTCACAAAAATGACGTCTTCGTTGTTTATCAATGCGTCGCGTCTTGCATCTCACCTTCCTCGACATCTATAAAGACATACACATATACTTTTATAAGTCATTTTATCATGATCAAACTTCTAAATATGCTCGAGGTACAAAATATGACTTTAGGGTTAACTTATTTCTTTATGGGTACTTGACCCCTTTTCACTCTTTCTACCATAAGTCCCAAAATACAGATTCAAATGATGCAATTCTAGTTTCACATGAAACTAGACTCATAGGGCTCTAACATATCCAAAAATTAAGTCTAGGTGTAATAACCCCGTCTCAAAAACATACACTCGTTCATGCATACACGCATACTTAGGAATTACACACATATAATTATACCTGCATATGACATGTTAGTGGGGTATTGGATAATAAGTATTTTGAATAATAGGAAGAATTAGGGGCTCAATTGAATGTAATATAAGTTGAGGGACTAGAATAAAAACAAGCCAAAACTCGAGGGACCAAAACGAACTTTGCCAAAATATCTTCACAACCTTATCAAGATTACTTACCTGATCATTATCTCTTCTTATCCCATCTGGTTTCCCTTTTTGAGAGAGAGAAAGAGAGGAAAAACCCATTTCTTTGTCAAATTCGGATGATCAAGCTGGAAATCTAGGTAAGTTCATCCCCGACTCTGTTTTGCACTCTTGATTTTGAGAGTTTAGGGTCAGATCTGGAATAAGTTGTAAGAATAAAAATTGTTGGTTTGTGTCTTATCTAGCTCTCT